TACGCTTGCGCTCGTCACGAAAACGGGCGGGCCCCCTTCCCGTCCCACTTCCTCGGCACTGAAGCCCCTATAATTTACAGTGTTTCGCGTGTGTGAGGTATAAAAAGCACTGTGTTTTACAAGATTTTGGGCCCCTCGGCGGCCGAGAATTTCATCTTAGCGATGTTTAAAGACGTAAGTTTTTCCATGGTTTTTGCTTTGCGGGAAGGAAAAAAAGTTGTATCGCAAAATGTTTCAACTTAAATTGCCTAACATATCCCCAACATAGCCTCCAAGATGGCTCAACATAGGGCCAACATAGACCAACATGGTGCCAACATAGGCCCAACCTAGGCCAACATAGGCCTAACATAGGCCAACATAGGCCCAACATAGGTTCAACATGGGCCCAAGATGTGCCCAACATAGACCACATGGGCCCAACCTAGGGCCAAGATGCGCACCAAATAGCTTAACTTTGCTCAATATAGGGCCCCCGTCTCCGACGCGGAGCAATTTCCCACCTTGGCCCCACCCAGGGCCCAATACGCTCCCGATAGCTTAACGTGCACCCCACCCAGCCCTACACAAACCCAAGTGGGCCGGCGCCCGGCTGTTAGGCGTAAGCCTTTAAATATCATTATACATATATTAAATCCGTATTAATAATTTTATTGATTTACAATAAGTATCTATTATATCATTATATAGATACATATATTATATTCGATTAGTTTGATCATGATTTATTCCTGTCAAAAGCAATAAAAGGAAATTATACAGAATCTAATTCTTCTGTATAGTGTAAGATACTTAATGCCACAAAATGCGAATAATTTCGAACAATGACAATAGTGAGATTCCGTTTGCGCACGGTGTTGGCACACTATTCTGTTCTATTCTATTCTGCAGTCGTAATTGGCCAAAGCAAAAAAATAGAACCGCAACACCTCTTTAGCACCATCATCTATAACACCAAAATGCCGCTAATAAGTTGACTTGAGGAAGTCAAGAAACCTGGATGTATGACGGACATCAAAATGCCAGAACTCTGGTTCTTGGTCCGCTTTGCAACGAGAGTCAAACGAACCTTTCATCTTTACATCTTTCGGTGGTTTGATTCAGAACTCACCACGACTCATTGACAGGTCGCAACCACCTACTCATTGTCAAAGTCTTAAGTCCAAACCCTGAGGAACCACTTGTGCCATTTCGCTGAGCCAGATATATCAGGCTAGACTAGACCCCAATTGGCAAAAAACTAGTGATTGCCCTGACTGCCTTGATTTCTTGAGCTTCCTTAGAAAAAACCGGTTTAACATAGGCGGAACCCTTTTGCACTTGGACCCTGCACTCGTTGCATTCGGTGTCGCAAAAGCAGGCGATCCACAGATCACATCACCTGCCATTCGCTCCAATTCCTCGAGTTCCGATGCCACGACACATGGACCGCGCCTGGATCCATCCACCGAGAGCCCAAACCAGGTGAACGCGCAGCTGTTGGCGAAAACCTGCGGAGAAAGGTCCATGAATTCAACGCCACGCACGTTTGGGAGATGGAGGGCAAGTTGAAATTCACAATAGATGCTCATGCCATTCACATCGGTCATTGATGGGTATGAGTAGTCTGGAACACACACCGACTCTGCTCCCTGAAAAGCAGCTCGGTCGATGCACCAACATGCAGTAATTAATTAGTCGCTCAATCCGGAGGAGGTGCACCCACCGATTTGGAGATTCGATCGGAGCCACATATGCAGCATGTGTCTATTTTTCAACTAGCTAAGCTCTAGACCCGCACCTTTGGCGGCTTTTGACATCTTCATCGAATTTCGAAAGAGCCTCCACTCCCAAGGACGACGTAAGCAATTTCTCAGGTGATCTTGAAGTGAACAATCATCTCTGGATATGCTTGGGCACCATTGAAGATCACGTATTCTCGATGAACTTGTGGTTGGGGCCCGAGGCCTGTGGGTGTTCCGGGCTTGGCGATCACGGAATGGAAGCGACCCTTGGAAGGGTCTAGGGGATCCAGAAAAGGCTCGACCTTTCCATTCTTCAAGGGTCCTCCGGTGAAAAAGGGATGCCCAAGAACCAGGCGTGCAATGATGAAGCAGCCACCATCTTGTGTTGCAGCACCTGAGTACTGTAGGCTCTTGCAACTTTGGTCTGTGAAGTAAACACCCTGCCCATACAAGCCGCTTTCACGTGCCAGACGCTCATCAAATCCGTAGGTGGCAATCTGATCGGTTTTCTCAAGAGTAGTGCCGTGGATCACCAAAATCTCATTGATCTTTGCGTCCAGCTCAGCCCAGCTGCACGCTTTTGAAGGCAAGTTGCTCGTCACGCATGGAAAAGCTCGTCCTTCCAGCTCCTTTCGCACTTGATCCTTGCGGAACTCATAGTCCTTCCAAATGCGAACGTTGAAGATCTGCGTGACTTTGGTGATGGACACACGCCGCATGCGGTGACAATCGCCGAAATGCTCTTGAGGACATGCCACAAGCAATGCATCTTGGATAGTGGCATAGGCCTGGTCTCCAGCAGGGACCTCCTTGTAAACTTTCATTTGCAGTTGGCGACTCATGCGCCAAGATTCCTGCAACATCATCTGCGTGGCATGGTCAGCCTGTGAATTCAGCAGGATGCTTCTTTCCTGCCTCAGTTCTGGACTGCAATGAAGAACATGGTCTGTAAAATTAGGATCGGACTCGTGCTTCTTTTTCATTTTCAGGGGCTTTAGGATGAAGTGTGGGGTTCTTACAAAAGACATGTAGAAGGATAAAACACGCCTGAACCACACCAAATGCTAGTTGGAGTCAGCTGAACACACTTGGGCCACAAGCCAGAGTGACATAGCGGCTGGGCACTTCCATTTTGAGACACGCTCCCTCTCATTCCCCCATTTTTCATACTTTTGCTGCCCAAACACTCTAACTTGGCCACCTTGGCAGCCAACTCCGTTCGTTCGTCTAAGAGACCGTGCTTGTCAGCTTGAAGACGCTCGATCTCCGCATCCTTCGCAGCCAGCTTCGGGAGCACCTGCGTCATGTTGGGCCTGGGCAGTCCCCGCCGGATGCGGCGCTTGCGGTGCGTCTGCAAATTCGATTGCACCATGCAACGACAATCGATGCCGTACTTAAAGCCATTAGCTTCCACAAAGAAGATGTCGGTGCCATTGTCACCTCCCCAATGTTTGGCCCAACGCTTCTCAAGTACATTGTTCATATCTTGCCTCATCAGTTGCCAATCTTCGGCGGCTCCCTCTGGGCTTGCCAGAAACTCCCAGCGAAGCTCCAGCTTAAAGTCCTCCAACTCATCTGCTGGACCTGCTGTGACCCTCAGATTCTTGTCGATGTCACCGTCGAAGGGAATCCTCCAACCAGACTCCTTGGATGCCCCAAAAATGAACATCAAACAACCACTGAGGAGACTGCTCTATACAATATATCTTGGAACATCTTAGAACAATTTTTAAACCACCTCTGGCAAGCAGGCAGGCCATCCCCCCGCCTTATGCGTTTGATCCCCCATGTTAATCACATGGAGGGGTCACACATCTCCATTCTTTAGTGATTTCCTGGGAAATGATGAATGTCAGCTCCCTAGAAAATGAAGAACACAGTTTCATGAACCTGGATCAGCATAATCTAGTGAATCACTAGGAAATGAACCTAGATTTTGATCACACCTCTCGGGCCTGTGATCGGCGCGTCTTCTTTTTGAACCTGCGTTCGACATTTTCTAGTGAATGCCCTGGTGCCTTGACGTGTGATCGTCATTCTTTAGCGGATCCTGCTTTGACCCTGCTTTCTAGTGGTGCCACCTTGCTTTGTTTTGGGCTGAGGATGATCAGGATGGGCAGTGAATGGCAGTGACATATACTGTATCATGCCAGACGGCCCATGGAAATCGTGCCATAGTGGTGCCATGATTTCACTGAAGCTGTTTGTCAGATGACAATCAGACCTGAGCCTGAGCTTGTATATCTTCGCTCTTCATACACTGTAAAGACGTAGAACCCATCAAAATTAGGGTGTGTTCCTCATTTTCTTGTGGCTTTGGTGTCTCAACCAGCACCTGGTACACCCAAATCCCCAAACACTGCCATTCCCTATCATTCCATTTTGGGCACTCTGGCCAGAAATGGAAAGGTCGGGTATCCAGCTAGAACAATTCACTAGAAAATGATGGGTTCTAGGTCTTTAGGGTATGTTCGCCATTATCTCGTGGCTTTGGTGTCTCGACCAGCACCTGGTACACCCAAATCCTCAACCACTGCCATACCCTACCATTCCAGTTTTTGCACTCTGGCCAGAAATGGAAAGGGAGAGTATGCAGCCAGACCAAATCACTAGGAAATGAAAGGTTCTAGGTCTTTGGGGTGTGTTCCTCATTTTCTAATATCCTCATACCCTACCATTCCATTTTTTGCACCCTGGCTAGAAATGGACAGGTAGGGTATCCAGCCAGACCAATTCACTAGAAAATGATGGGTTTCACGTCTTTAGGGTGTGTTTCCAATTTTCTAGTGGCTTGGGTGTCTCGACCAGCACCTGGTACACCCAAATCCTCAAACACTGCCAGACCCTACCATTCCATTTTTCACTCTGGCCAGAAATGGGAAGGTAAGGTCTCCAGCCAGAACAATGCACTAGATAATGATGGTCTTTAGTCCTTCATTTTCTAGTGGCTTTGGTGTCTGGACCAGCACTGCCATTCCCTATCATTCCATTTCTGGTCCTACCAGTCCATTTCTGCACTCTGGCCAGAAATGGAAAGGTAGGGGATCCAGCCAGGCCAATTCACTAGAAAATGATGGGTTCTAGGTCCTTAGGGTGTGTTCCTCATTTTCTAGTGGCTTTGGTGTCTGGACCAGCACCTGGTACGAATTGGTCTGGCTGACCTTTCCATTTCTGGCCAGAGTGCAAGAAAGGGAATGGTAGGGTATGGCCGTGTCTGAGGATTTTGGGTGTACCAGGTGCTGGTCGAGACACCCAAGCCACTAGAAAATTGGAAACACACCCTAAAGACGTGAAACGCATCATTTTCTAGTGAATTGGTCTGGCTGGATACCCTACCTTTCCATAGGGTGCCAAAAATGGAATGGTAGCGTATGAGGATACTAGAAAATGAGGAACACACCCCAAAGACCTAGAACTTTTCATTTTCTAGTGAATTGGTCTGGCTGGATACTCTACCTTTCCATTCCTGGCCAGAGTGCAAAAAATGGAAGGGTAGGGTATGGCAGTGTTTGAGGATTTGGGTGTACCAGGTGCTGGTCGAGACACCAAAGCCACTAGAAAATGGGGAACGCACCCTAAAGACGTGGAACCCATCATTTTCTAGCGAATTGGTCTGGCTGGATACCCTACCTTTCCATTTCTGGCCAGGGTGCCAAAAATGGAATGGTAGCGCCAGAAATGGAATGGTAGGGTATGGCCCTCGGTATGGCAGTGTTTGAGGATTTGAGACGCTGGGGGACATCCAACAACACACACTGAGATTGACACAACAAAGTTCTTTAGCCAGTTCCTTGCAGAAGTTGCCGCAATCCTGAAGAGGATGAACAGGCAAGGAGCAATGCGAGGGCAGGAAGCTGAGGAGAGGAAGAAAAGGAGCTTTGCACGTTGGAATTGATATTGTTTTTTTGGGTTATGTTTCTCTTAAACTCTGTCTTGAATCATCATGATTCATCATGTTTGCTAGAAAATGAGGCACCCCCACTAGAAAATGAGGATCACGGTGGGATCAAGAAAACAAGGTGATGTCTAGAAAATGACCCTGCCAGCATGCCTATGAGACCTGTGATCCTCAATTTCTAGTGACCTACAGGTCACTAGAAAATGAGGCTCCTGACCCCTTCTCGGTGAGTTTACCTTTTTGAGACTAAAGAATGGCCGTTTTCTATGTACGTTAACGCACCCCATTCTCTAGTCCGAATATCATGGGGGATTGCGTTTGTTCTTTTTCCGCAGGCTGAGTATTCCGTACAGAGTTCCTATGCCTTTAAAAAACCTGTAGGTCTCAAAACCAGTGCAAGTTCAACCTTCATGGGCTTAAATGAAATGAACAAAATGGACTAGTCAGGAGGCTCGCAATACCGTGGTGACATTTAGGGGGGGTCGGTGTAACTTTGACATGTTTTGATCCACACCCATACGAACAATCGCCTGCCAAGCAAAGGCAGGGCTCCGGTACCGTCAAGACTTCAGCCTCCCGATTGGCCCCATTGAAGGCCCACACGTTGTTGTTGCCGACGGTTGGTGCGAACCACCAGCCATGCTGAAGGGCTCCGTCACGCTCATCCCAGAAGTAGATGAAAGCGGAGCTAGGGCCATCATGAACTGGCTTCGCAGTGGGATCTTTTTCATAAACAGGCTTCCCATGATTCCACTTGATCGCAGAGTACCTGCCTTCAAGAAGGGCAGCGATGGGATAATGGCTGCAGCCAGAAACATGAAGTACTGGCTCGAAATCCTTTTGCGGCGTCATTGCATCTGCCTTCCGTTTGTTCTGTTGAAATTGATCCAGGTGGTTCAGTTTCAAGTGCCTCTCCAATGAAGCAGTGCCGTGGTTGAAGTATGTCTTGCAAAGAGGGCATTTGTAGGGATTGCCCGAGTGGCTCATCGGTACTTCAAATTCCACCCCCAGTCGCACGGCCAACTCTTCACAAGCGCTGCTCAGTTCATACTTGCTGCCGGGCTTGACATGCCGCGCCCAAACCTTCCAACAGCTGCAGCAATATACACTGCCAGGAGCTTGGAGCGCTTTTGCATCAAAGCGCGACCACAGGAAATGAGGGAGTGGTATGTAAGAACCTGAACGCTCATCCCACTGGCGCACGGAATTCCGCACCCACAGCCATCCCTGACTGGTCCAGATGGCCACCTCCCCAAGCCTTGCATCAGCAGCGCATTTGAAACACACTGGCATAGAGATTGGAGGCTACACGCGGGTGTGAACCCTCCAATTCCTTGGGAGGAAAAAAGACACATTCATGGCGATATAAATCCCCGTCCGTTTGAGGCATGGTGAAGCGTTCGATGATCCATCCAGGTTGGAGAAATGGGTTTTCGGAGATGAACCAACTAGTCTAATTAATTCATGTCTATTCTATCAAGAGCGACCAAAAGCGACACACCATGGTTGTTAAACAAAATACAACACCATAATAATGACCATCATGTGCATTCAATGGATTCTCAACATCCACTCCATTCCACTCCTCATCTTATGAAGAAAACCGGGGTTGAACGCGGCGAACCGAATGGAAGAAAGAGGCGAACTGATGGGTCTGGTCACCTCTGGTCCAGTGGTTCATGGGCTTGGCCAGGCAATGTTTTGAGGATCTCCAAGTTGCAAGGGTGCTGAAATGTACGAAAGTACTTTTGCAAAGAGACTCCCTGGTTGAGGAACATAGTTCTTCCATGGAAAGGCCATTCTGAAGCGGAACAGGTCTCCTGATCTTTCCTGGCCTCATCGTGAGGCATTTTCTTAGAGAACACGTCTGAGCCTATAGACCACGTTTTTGAACGACTAACTAGCGGCTGGCATATTGCAGCATGATCACGGAAGGTTCAGCGGCGCTATATCTATAGGAATATATATATATATATATATTCCGCTTTCACCTGCAGTATCCGCGCCACAGACCTTGGAACAGATCCCTTCTCAGACTTCCTGTGCAGAACGGGGGGGACCTCAAGTTTCTCCACTGGGGTCTTTTCAAGTGCTCAAGGCATGGGGGGCCGACCCTGAGGAGAGTGGGGAGCAAACTGCAATTGGAGAATCCTTCACGCACTGTCACAGCTGTGTCAATTGCCTGGATTGCTAGCCAGTGACAGTGGGGAGACTTCCGCCCATTGTCTCTGCCGGAGGACTGCATTGAATACTGATCTTTCGCGGATGGTTTGGACAGCATCCAAAAGGTTGTTTTGTGTAAACTCTTTCACACTCCCCTTTAGATCAACCCCATGCTTTTTGTGATATTCTTGTGAGTCCAAGAAGGGCAGTCACTTGTATTCGGTGATGAAGAACTCACCACACCCCGTTGACCGCCGAAAAGGAACGTAAAACAAATTATTATATAGCCAGGTCCGGCTTTGAAGCTCTACATTTTGACCCACAGCCGGGTCGAAGAGTCCCAATTGGCGCAGAAACACCAGGTCTGAGGTCCACGTCGCGCCGTGCAGCGTCCGTGCAGCGTCGGTTCAACTGCAGAAACCACGTCGGGTAGACCGGAGGTTCAACCCAAGATCTTACCAGCAGAGGTTGAAGAACCCGAACTAGACTATCCTAGTTCGGTACCCCTGGTTACGGGTCCTATTTACGGTCACTTAACCTCTGTTGGTACTGCATGTGGGAGTTCTGGCAGAGTTCGACTGGACCCGACTTGAGCGCTCCCGACTCTCGTCACCCCCATGGCCTCTGCTCGGGTTCTTGCGGCCCTGAGCGTGCTTCTCCTGACCCAAGGATCGCTCCGGGTGTTCGGCCCCTTCTTCTGATGAAGGAAGCGTCGAAATTCGAGATTCACACATCTACAGAAGTGTATCTTTGCACCCTTGCTCCGTAAAAAGCGCACTCAATAAACAAGGAGAGGAGGGAAAGAGGAAGTTCACCTAGATTGGAATGAAGCCACATGTGCAGCATGCGTCTATTTTTCGACTAGCTAAGCTGTCACCCGCACCTTTGGCGGATTCAAGGAATCTTCATCTAAACTATACAGCCGCGGCCTCCTACTTCAGCCAGTGCTGAGGCCATGCAAGGAATCAATTTCTCAGGGAATCTTGAAGTGCACAATCATCTCTGGATATGCTTGAGCACCATCGAAAACCACATACTCTTGATGAACCTGTGGTTGTGGCCCGAGGCCTGTGGGGGTTCCAGGGCGGGCGATCACGGAATGGAAGCGACCCTTGGAAGGGTCATTCACATCCAGAAAGGGCTCTATCTTCAAGTTTTTCTGGGGCCCTCCAGCGAAGAAAGGACGCCCGAGAACCAGGCGTGCAATGATCAAGCAACCAACATGTTGCGTCGCTGCGCCCGAGTACTGTAAACTCTTGCAGCTTTGGTCTGTGAAGTACACACCCTGCCCGTACAAGCCGCTTTCACGTGCGAGGCGCTCATCAAATCCACAGGTGGCAATTTGATCGATTTTGTCAAACGTCGTGCCATGGATCACCAAAATCTCATTGATCTTTGGGTCCAGCTCAGCCCAACTGCACACTTCTGAATTCAGGTTGCTAGTCAGGCGCACACAGGCAGGTCCTTCTTCCAGCTCTTTTCGCACTCTTTTTTTGCGGAATTCATAGTCCTTCCACACTTCAACGTTAAATATCTGCTTCACTTCCGTGATGTGAGCATCCCGAATGCGATGGCAATGGCCAAAGTGGTCTTTGGGACACGCATCGAGCAATGCATCTTTGATGATGGAATAGAGTTTGTGCCAAGCAGGGACTTCTTTGTACACTTTCACTTGTAGCTGGCGACCCATTCGCCAAATTTCCTGCAGCATCATCTGGCCATCATGCTCCACCACTGAATCCATCAAAGTAGCTTTCTCCTGCCTCAGCTTCAAACATTTAGAAACAGCAATAAACAACTAACAACAATATGCAAAACCGAGACAGCCACACCTAGCACAGCACCCTCCCCTTTGGTGGTCATTCAAGATGCTCGTCTCATTCACCCTGCGTCGAAAAAGCCCCTAAGCATCCCTAAGCCATGCAGTCATGCAGTCATACCGTTCCGTCACACCGTTCCATCTGTGGTTCTGCTTCGCTCCCAGGGATTGAGACATCGAGGTTTGAGGAACCCCAAATAGTAAGAAAACACATCCCTGGTGTCACAGTGTCACTTGAAGAAAAAACTCCACGAATGAATAGAATGATGCCCAAACACTCCAACCTTCTGACCTTGTCATCCAACTTGTCTAGTTCCTTGAAGAGGTCACTGTTCTGGGCTTGAAGGCGTGCGATCTCGGCATCCTTCGCCATCAGTTTTGGGAGCACAGCCGCCATGCTAGCTCTGGGCTCTCCCCGCCTGATGCGCCGACATCGGTACGTCTTCAAGTTTTCTTGATACATGGTATAGCAATCGATGCGATATGTGAAGCCATTTGATTCGACATTGAAAAAAGTCAGTGCCATCATCACCGTCCCAATGTTTGGCCCAACGCTTCTCAAGTACATCGTTCATGTCTTGCTTCATCGGCTGCCAATCTTCTGGTGAGGCTCCCTCTGGGCTTGCCAGAAACTCCCAGCGAAGCTCCAGCTTTAAGTCCTCCAACCCTTTTGCTGGACTTGCTGTGACCCGCAGAGTCTTATCGATGTCGCCATCGAAGGTAATCCTCCAACCAGACTCCTTGGATGCCCCAAAAATGAACATCAAACAACCACCCAAGGAGACTCCTCTCCATATCTTGCAACCATTTTTAGCCACCTCTGGCAAGCTGGCAGGCCATCCCCAGGCTTTTGTTTTTTACCTTTTTCCGCAGGCTGAGTATTCCGTGCAGAGTTCCCATACAGTAAGAAGATGACTGCCGGTCTAATCTCCCGAACACAGTGGTGGGGAGTAGGAAAGTGCAGGTTCAAAGACCAAGGACCTTAAGTCAAAATGAACAGAATGGACCAGAAAGGAGATGTGAGCCTACCGCGGTGACATTTAGGGGGTGTGGTTTTGACAGGTTTTGACATGTCTTGATCCACCCCCACACGAACAATCGCCTCGCCAAGCAAAGGCAGGACTCCGGTACCGTCAAGACTTCAGCCTCCCGATTGGCCCCATTGAAGGCCCACACGTTGTTGTGGCCGACGATGGGTGCGAACCACCAGCCATGCTGAAGGGCTCCGTCACGCTCATCCCAGAAGTAGATGAATGCAGATCTGGGTGTGGGGCCCCAAAAACCATCAGCTGGCTGCTTGGTCTGCTCTTTTTCATAGATTGGCTTCCCATGATTCCACTTGGTTGCCGTGTACCTGCCTTCAATATGGGCAGCAATCAGAGCATGGCTGCAGCCAGAAACGTAAAGCACTGGCTCGAAATCCTTTTCAGAGATCATTGCATCAGCCTTCCGTTTGCTCCCAACCAATGGATTCAGGTGAGCTTTTTGTAATGCATCAGCCTTCTGCTTGTTCTGCTGGAATTGATCAAGGTGGGCTGCTTTCAAATGCATCTCTAGTGAGCGAGCGCCTGCATTGAAATATGCGTTGCAAAGAATGCAATGGAAGGGATTGCTCTTCCTACTCTGGGTGTTATTTGCTTCAAACATCACTCCGAGTCGAACGGCCATTTCTTCGCAAGTGCTGCTCAGTGCATATTTGCTGCCAGGCTTGACATGTTGCCCCCAGTCATCCCAACATCTGTAACAATATATGGTGCCAGGAACTTCAAGCGCTTTCGCATCAAATCGCAGGACGCGTGGGAGCTGTACGTAAGAATGTGAGCTCTGGTCCCACTGGTGGCTGCAATTCCACACCCAAAGCCATTTCTGTCCGGACCATATTGCAACCTCCCCATCTTTTGCATCTGCATGGCATTTGAAACACGCCATAGTAGCTGGAGGAGCCACACGGCGTGTTACAACCCCCCCACTGTCTTGGGAGAAAACGCGGCCAGGAAGTGCAAGAAATGACTGCTCTTGACAAAGTCTCGCGGAATTGGCAAACCAAACAGTCACACGACCAACTCTTTTGCGGTTTCCCCAAGAGCAAGCGTTCAAACATAGACACAAAACACGCAAAGCCAAGCAATGCAAAGGGGTGACCTTGCAGCAGGATCTGCTTTTTCAACAGGTGGGTGCTTGGAGAGAAGTTACATGAAGTTACTCAACGCGTGGCAAATCGGATTCAATCTTCGCTTTGCACACAATCCCTATGAACCGCCAGCCTTAGGAGTGCTGAAGGGCCACGCAAGGATCTCGGAAGCCAAGGTCATTGCCTTCGACTGAAAAACTCGAGTCGAGTTGGACGCGCGATGACGCGATGTGGATATGGGATGCATATGGGGTGTAACAAGGAGCCTTCCCAAGCATCATGTTTTATCATGCCGACTGTGCAGGGCTCTCCCCAGACTTCCCCTTCTGTCCGAATATACGAACATAGAAGCCGGGCAGGCCCAGGTTCTTGGCAAGTCTATTTCCGAAGCTGAGAGACTTCCAATCGAAGTTCGATAAGTGCGAACTCACAATCTGGTGATTCATGCTTCAACGGCGATATGCAAAAATACTGAAGCGCGCATCAAACATCATCAAACTACCCGTGAACATGAGGAAGATGGGACCTCATGTAAATGGATGGGATTTGTTCACGCTAGCTTGAGGACACAGGACAATTGGCATCTTCCTCGCAGAAACCGTTCAAATGGCCCGTCTGTTGAAGGTCTTTTCCTTTTCGCATTGGCCCCAGGTCTTTGGAGCGTGACCAACGTGTGCGAAACATAGACGGTGCTTGCAGCATACTCTTGAACTGATTTGTAGGGCAGACTTGGCTGATGCTCTGGATACCGAAGATGTGCACCTATGTTACATCGGTAGGGAGCTGGTCATCAACATGTGGTCGAAACTGTACACCGTCTGTGGAGGAGCGTCCTCCTTTCCAAGATTGTGTTCTGCCTGGAGCCCTTTTTCGTCAAAACGCCACTCAGTCGATGGGCATGCAGTCGACATGGGGGAACGAAAAACAGTTTTTGAACCCAGTTGAAGACATGACAATATGACGGTAACCACATGAATACCTAGAGCATGCTACAACCTATCTGACCCTCTTTCTAAACGAAAAGGCGTTATAGTTATTGGTAACTGCAAACATCTCCAAACCAGGATGGCCCAGTGGACCCAGATGGCCTCAGCTCCCATGTCCCTCCGTAGGCCTTGCACCAGGTCATCCACCACGTCGATAAAGCCTACGGCGCCGGTGCCGTTCGGAACCAAAGACCCCCACACTTCGCGACGAACGGAGCACTTTTTTAGCGGGAGTCAATGACCATCGCTGCAAGTGCACACTCCCTGAAAGTGGCACCTTGAAAGACTGGTTTCACTCTACAAATCAGTGCTTTTTCAGGGTGCATGTTGGTCTTCAGCGGGGTATGCATTCAATCATGCCAACAATTCCATCGTGTGACTTGCTATGACGTCTGCAAGCCAGAAGTCGCTGGACGAAAGACCCGGCTGGCTGAATCGTCGATGATTCTGCGGTACAATCGTTTACATCTCTTTGCTAACACACCCAAATTTCAGCCACAAAGCTCTCATTGAAGTCGTGCTAGTGCAGTCTCGCTCAACGAATATTGCTCCAAAGCCAGCCTGCCTGTGATGGACATGACAACAACCTTAGGCATTCCAAAAAAAAAAACATCCCCAGGCCCCGAAACATAGCCACGAACAAAGGGGTGGTTCCATGCGAAGGATGGTTCGAGGTTTCCAGGTGGTTGCTATGTTGGGTTTGGGGGGAGCGCACCTTTTATACAATGCCATCCTAACATCGATTGCTTGATGGAGTCTGCTTCTCTGTTTCTGTCAATGGTGCCAGGCCACATGCCAGCAGTATGATCAACTATCATCCAAGGTGCTGAGAGGGCAATGATGCCGCCCAGCAAGAACATGATGACCTCATGCAAGGTAGAAAGGAGATGCTGAAGGCACAAAGGCACAAAATCAAGCTTGAGGGGCAAAGCCGCCAGCAGATGTGTTCCAATCGATTGGTAAGAAACACGTGGCGATCCTGCAAAGCATTTTCAACATCAAAGTGTACAAAATAACATACCCCGAACACTCCATGCATAGCATATTTTGGGTGGTTGACAAGGAGTCAATGTATATACAGCCAATAAATATACTATATCAAATATGATACTATTATATTTATATTCCATGTCTTGCTTTTAGCGTATCATTAGCATCTACACCACTTCTTTCCATCTCCTGGTCCAGGTCGCTCAACCCCAAGTAGGAGCTGCTCCCCGTCCTTCCTCCAAGTGGCTGAGGGCCGTTGGGTTCGCTTCACCACCCAGCCCACCACCGCCTTGCCCACCACCGCCTTGCCCGTGCGGCAGCGTTCGTGGTGCGGCAGCGTTCGTCTACGTCTTCGTGGTGTCTTTGGGTCCACGTCAGTGGGGTTGCACAGAGGCCACAGCCTTGAAACGATTTGAAACGGCTGAGAACTCGCTGGTAACATCAGTACATCAATTGGCCGGTTTGATTGTTTTGGACCCAGATTCAGTGGATTGATCGAGTCTCATGGCAGGCATGGACATCTTGGGGGCATATGTTCAGCAATCAATTGTTGGGGCAAGCACGCATGTGATGAGTCCGTGTTCAGCTATGCAGGATATATTGGATTTGAGTACTCATGCTACAAACGACTGGTAGCTTGAGGACTGGCAGCTGGCACACGAAGCTTGCAGCTGCAGGGCAACCAGGGCTGTGAACTGAGCTTACCATCAGTTATTGCAGTGTAGTTGTCCTATCCAAGTACAAAAGCCTCAGCAATACCCTCTATATGTTGCTCACCGAAATGATGAACTCCGAACACTGCTGCCACCCAGGCGGCCCCAAGAGCAGTGGCAAAGCCAAGCCAGAGTGAGTAATCCAAAGTTGCACTGCCTTGCCAAGGGCACCAAAGCACCAGGGAGATTCGAACCCATGAAGGGTCTGGACATTGCCTAGTATGCCACGGGCACTAGGGGAGATATCCAAGAGAGTGGGGATTGCAACGCAATACAGATTAAACGCCGATTGAACACGTAGTATGTAGCGACATCATGCGGCATCCCACAATCATCGAAAACTAGCACAATAGATGCAAAAATATCAAAAATGCAAAGTCTGGAAGGTGACAAAAATGGGTGTGACCAAATTTCCCAACACTCTAACTCCCCTCTCCACACACTCCAAGACTTGTGTCCCATTTCTGAAAAGGCTCCTTGTACCAAGAAGGCAATGGCAGTAGAGGTGGACATCACAAACAATGTGGTGGCCTGAGCTGTAAAAGACAATTCTGGGTTTTTCACACGAGCCAAGCCAATGGCCGGCTGCGCTCTTCAATCGCTTATATAATCGCTGCGTCACAAACAGGACTTCTGGGGTATGTAAAAGGATGTAATGTAGACAGTTGATTCGCAACCCCCCTACCGAAGTCGTTCTACATCTCCATATGAGTCTAAAACAACATCAAATCAAGAGTATGAGACTGCATATGAGTAACGAAGAAGCATCAGCAAACAGTGCTTCGTCATCGTTTGAAGGTCTCTTCAGTTCATTCCGAACGAAGGAAACCGTGAGACCACCGTCACCTGGGGCGCTGGCAGTCGTTGCACTTTGGACCTGTCATCGTCTCCATCCGTCTTCCAGGACCTTTCCAGTCATCCCCTGGAGAAGCACCCATCTGGATTTGGTGTACTCAACCCCCAAACTCGGGCAGGGTGGATTTCATATCACCAAAACTGCCATGCACATGCCATCAACAAAAGAGACTTCAACTGCAGCCAAACAACTGAACCCCCAAACTTCATGGGTTCCGCATTCATGGGTTCCGCATCATGTCCATTACAGAGCTCAGTTGCTGAACATCGCTTCACCCCAAACCACTAGGAGCCTGTAGGGGGAAGGGGATGCTGACCGATCAGCTCCGCTGCTGCGACGTCCGGCCTGTGGCAAACAGCCCAAGTCTAAGAGCTTTGGACCTCGGGTCGAAGCGACGTTTTCATCGGCTGTGGTCGGCAGGGTTAGGGGGAACCTCGCCGTCCTGCCAAGAAAAACACGTCACATAGATTGACATAGCGGTGATATCTTTTGGATTGGGAGCTGCTCCGAAATACAACCCCACCGAGGGGTCGATTTAGTTATATATAGATTCTGTGGAGGGATCCCCATAAAAATCAACCAAGCAAGAGATAGCAAGAGTACAAGGCCATCTGCCCGCGTTTTTCTTCGTTCCTTTCCACTGCCCTTCATGCCGACCGGTCGCAACGCGGCACGACGGGAATCCCCTGGGAAGCTCGGTGGCCATGGCGCGAACGACGGCGGCCATGGCGGGCAACTGGGCACCGTGGGTCCAGGGTGGGTGAAATGAAGAAATCCATAGAAATCCTTTGCCCTAGGGATCCACATACTCTCTGAGAAGGTACTTGGATCCCTAGGGTTGATAAGGGATGTAACTCACAGCCCATATTGGCTGGACAAAAACCATCCGTTGATGACCAGGTCAATGCCTGATATGCAACTTTGGGTCATCTGACTCCACGTTGATGACTGAAATGGGTCGCGATGGGGTAAGCAATGCGTCCTTAGGACTTGAAACCCTTCAGACAAAATGGATTTCTGATTTATTTGGACCATTAGACTTGGCCCTTGGAGGAGGCCCCTGGCTGCCCAGGTGTGACTTCGTCACCCAAAGTCCTCCAAGTCCTCTGTGCCATGAAGTCACCTGAGCACCTGGCCCATGATCATGCCACCACCAATGCCACAAAGTGCAGCCATGGTGCCAGCCTCCAAGGCCAGGCTCAGTATGGCCGCAAAAGGCTGAGGAAATGGACGCGGACTCAGAAAAAGGGGTTTCATGGTGCAACCTGAAGAGCAAAAATGATCATATATGATCATGTCTCCTGCAAACATGTTTTCATGTTCATTTTACCTTGCGGCACCAGGCTTGGACATCTGAGAATCTCACCAGGATCCACTAAAGCCAAAATCTACTTAATGTTAATTAGTCTCCCCGGCCAGGATCTACATCTACAGGTTCTACATCTGCAGGGCCTCCCTGGAGATTCTTCTTCATTCAAAACATTTAAACTACTCCCGAAATAAGCATTGAAGTGGAAGATGCCCCCTGAACATACACCTTCAACCGGACGTTGGAGGGTATTCACCGCCACCGAACGGCGACCCGAACCGAAGCGGCGCTGTTCTGAGAGGCCGAACGAGGAGCGACCAAACAGAGACATAGAGAGACGTCTTCAACCTCCGTGTTTGGGCAAGCTCCGAGGTGCGGGTTTAAATTTGGTCAACCGTGCAAGCTGCAAGCTGCAAGCCCACATTTTTCACTATCTTCACAACAACTGAATGCAACGTCGGAGCTTCTGGCGTTTCAAATGCCAAGTTGCCAGTTTGACATGTTTTTCCTGGCTCTGCCTGGATTTTGGCCAGTCTGGGGTACTATGGTAGGAACATGTAGGAAGTCCAAGAAGGGCTTGGGGATGCAGCAACCTCTTCCTTCATTTCCACCAACACAGCAACCTCATGGGAAATTCTATGTACTTAACAGCCATAATAAAGACTCTTGAATAATACCCCTCTCCTTTGATTAAGATTTCAAGTCTACATTAGACATGAACTGTCTGAATTCTGAGAGCGTGGCGTCCACTGAAGGCTGCCATCTGCTTGTACTGCAGGAGTTTTTGAAGAGTTTCAGGTCGTCAGACAAGCTTTACAGCTGAACTGTGGTTCTATGCGATTTCATGGGTCGACCTGCCATGCCCATCACAAGTCGGCTAAGATAGTCTTTGTGAGAGAACGTAGCATCCCCAAAGCGCACAGCAGCGCCCAAAGCCGTTTAGCCTAGAGCCTGCTTCTCCAGGATGGATGTGTCACTCTTCCCTCAAGTGCACCTGCATCCTGCCCAGCCATACAAGAGGAGGCTGCACTGAGTAAAAGCAAGATGATGGCCGTCGCCAACGCAAAAGCCCAATACCTGCATGCTGTGATGTGCAGATCTTAGCAGATGTCACCGTGCAAAACTTAGGGGGCACACTCTGAAGATGGGGGACGTCGAGTCTTAAGTGGACGTGTGCAAGTACGTGGCGGGACCAACACCCACATCCTTGTGGTCCTTTTCAGGGGCGTCACGTCCGAAACGGGTCGAAGCTTCGGTCTTCACTCGCTACAGCCCAGCTGCATCGGAGAACACATGGAGACGATCCCAGGGGCAGCATGGCCCCCGCGGAAAAGGATGCTGACCACCACGACCAGCCACATCAGCAAGAATCCTCACCGGTCGACGTTTTCACAACGCGTTTTGCAACGTCTAGGACTCAGTGAGGTTTCTTAGTCGAGTTTCTGAGGTGATCGTTGAACTGATGTGACTTCCATGGGTGTTCCTCAAGAATTCAAGAATAGGCCTCTGAAAGTCAATCAATCCTGAATCCTCAGCCTGTTTGGACAGGACACCGCAGGTGAACACTCCTTGCTTCGTGGCTTCCAGAAGTCTGCTCAGTGATCAGATCTCATAGTCCAGCTCTGACCAAGTGCCACAAGGATGAAACAAGATCAGCCCCAAGATCTGACCTCTGGACTTGCATCTTCATAAATATATGTTCATCATCTTCTTATATATCTATCTGCGAGTTCCTACCCCTCCCCACCCCCCCGCACCTGCCAGCTTTCCCTTTGGATACTGCGGCTCACTGTGGACGCTTTGCAGGCTTTGCACGGACACTTGATCGCTGGGCGTCAACTCCACCGGCTTGGTAGCGACTGTGCCTGGGCTCTGCCGGCTCTGTGCTGACTCCAAAGCAAGTGGTTTTTCATGGTTCTTCACCACACAAGCATTACTACTGCGCTGGACCAGGATTATTGCTGCAAGCGCAGATTCTTGAGATGGGATAGGTTCTGCATGCTGCAGATGGTCTGCAGAATGTCGTTTCAATTCGCATATGTCAACCAATCTCCTTCTACCAAAACAGATGGAATCCCACTAGCAAACTCTGCCAAACCCTGCCTGCGCCGAGGTCTAACTCCAGCTTCACATCCCCTGGCCAAATCCGACGCTCCGTCCGACGGGTCCGTCATGCTCCCTCAACTCGCCACTCCAACGGCGTGTCCCTCTAGAGAGCTTGGGCCACCTCTCTCCATTCGTCTCTGAAACAATTGGTGACCACTTTTCTTATTAAGCAAGTGTTATGACTGGTATAGAGACTTGTCAATTGTCCGCTTTCTAGTCTTGGGGGTTTCGGCACTTTTTCTGCAACGACCTCTTTCCGGTTCCATCGCCGACCGAAGAAGCGGAGAACGCGGTGCAACCGAAGCCTCGCACCCTGGGAGTCCGACCCGATGGGCTTAGCGTCCAATCCGCAAAAGCAATGGTTGTTTGGGATTCGGACCATTGAATCAATGGTGGATGGAAACCGGAACATGTGTGATTTCATATGACCTCGAGTTTTCGGGGCTTGGCCTTCTCATGTGTGCGGATTGGCCCGGCAGAAAGCGACTGAGCCACTGAGGCGCCATGAACAAGACCGACCACCTCCTCCGATGTTCTTTCATTGGGAAGTGTTGATTATATTGATGTAGACTCTTGATCAATAACCCTCCCAATATGAAGAGGGTTTCACTGTTAACTCCGAGTTTCTAGTGATCAAGTCTAAGATGACGTCAACATCTTCCAAACACAGAACCTCCATCTCCACTGACCCTTCGTGAAATTCGACCCTTCTCTCGCCTGCATCCACGCTTCGTCCCACGACACTGGGTCGTTCAGCATTGGGCGCTCTCTCCTCGAACTCCGCGTAGCGCTTGCCCAAGCCGATCAGCCTCCGGGCGCAGTTGCCAACGTCCGACGCGGCTGGACGTCCATCGAACAGTGGTCCTCGGAAACGAATCTCTGCATAGTATGTACCAGCACCTTCCAAAGGGTACCTAGAAGTAGCCTCTTAAGACAAGTCACCAGAAGTAACCTCTTATATATATATATATGTACATAGTATACATAAGAAAAAAATATATATATATTATATTATTTATAATATATATATATATATATCTAGATATACAGCATATGTACATAGCATCTCAAAATTTCTTTCAACTCCTGGCACCCCTCTTGGAATCCGCCCGATTGAAACACCACTTTGGACACCGTCGCCCTCGCTTTTCCGGACCTTAAACATCGCTCCACAGGGTTCTTGGAAAGCCGGGCATCGCCTGACGAAGCGACTGGGCGATCCCAAAGGGAACCAACATGGTAGCTTCTTGTTGCTAGTAGCATCTACAGTAGTAGCGATTTGCTCCTAGTAGAAATGCTCTTGCTACTAGTAGGAATATGTTTGATTCCCAGTAGCTTTCTCATCCAGGAGTTTTATGGAGTTGGGTTGGGTGCTGAACGAATGGAGGTGTGCCCTGACTACTCACATCATATCCCAGCCCCGACGGATGTGACGAACCAAACCACTCCAAGATTAAACCGCTGGATGCTTTTGTTTATTCAACACATTGTTCAAACTTTGCTGTCGGAGTCTGGGTTCACTGTTGATCAGAATACTTCACTCTGAGTCTGATGACATGTTACATGCTACATGCACTTTATCAATCGGCTCCAATGTCCATTCCTTCCGCGAATTCATGGTGATGTCATGATACGAGTTCCACTCTTCCAACCATCCAATTACTGCCCACCTTCCACCTCAAGCAACTACAGGGCTGAGCTTCGAGCTACCAGGCTTCAGTCCGGCCACGTGCCCCTCGCGCTCCTTCCGCAAGGTCTGCAGCGCCTGTGGTTGGTGCAGATCAGGTCCGAGGAAACGAATCGCTGGGTGTTCGGAGAGGGAGATGTGCAAGTTGGGCGCATGGAAAGCTGATCAAACAACATAGGCATTACCACTAGCAACAAGAAGCTATGATATAATAAAGCATCATAATATATAGATATATAATGATATATATAGGCTGTTTGGTGTTGATGACAACTGATGACTTTTTAGCTGCCTGTAGAGCAACTATAGGATAACATGCTACTTTTCAGGCATCCAGAAACATATTTCGGGTTGCACGCGCCTTCTTGAAGGTCTTGAAGACGGAATGCACCAGAATGGTAATCAGGAGCAAAAGGATCAGCCAGGAGGGCAAAGCAAAGTTCAAGAAACTACCGACCTAAGTTCCGTGAAAGCTCAGAAACATGAGGAGTGGCTGGCTTCAGATCCACGTGAAGCCATTCGAACACAAGTGGAAACACTTGTGTGGTGGAAAAGCCCAGATCGGCATGAATTCCCATGCCCCTGGGGCTCTAAGAACCGGACCATGGCGCCCAGAAGCAGGTTCGGGCCCATGATGAGCCTTCGAAATGGTGCCAATGAAAAACAGTCATTTCAAGCAGAAAGACAGAGCTGGTCCAACGGTGAAAACATGTTCAAACTGATTTGACACATATTTGTTTGTCATGCTAATGTTTCTAGGGTTTGAAAGCAAGGTGTTGGTAGAATCAAGAATGTAGGGGGTCGGTGTTTTTCTTTGTGAGGATCATTCAACTCCGGAGGAACCAAGTATTTAGTTGGATGGCATCACTCCCAAGAGGCCCCCAAAAGAGAATGATACTAGGATCCAATGACCCCCAAGCTCACCGGACACTCCTCAAACATAGACATCATGCGTCCGCGCGGCGTCCTTTCTGCGTCCTTTCTATGTGAGTCCTACATTTCTTCAAAACACACAAACCCAGCAGTTGACTCGTCGACTACCGGTAAAGCCCCCATGAGCCAAAGAAACACCAAGTCGTAATCAATCATCGGCTTTTGCCCTGATGGATGCCGCTGCCGCAGGTTGTAAATCAGGGCGCTGCTGGCTCCTCGTGTCACCGGCAAATCTTTCACGGAACTCTTCGAACCAATCAGAAAGGAACTTCGTAGCAATCCCCAGGTTGCTTCGATCGGAATTCATGAGTTGCACCTCTCAAAGACCGATCTCCTTTCCGTCTCAGACTTCACTGCCGAACTTCTCCTCCAGCCAAGCAAGACTGGGAGAGTCCAGTGGCTTCGTGAATTTGAAAACCTGCCAAGTGACGTCGAGGAGCTGGGCCATGGCTGGGGCCGATGGGAGACATTGGCCAACAATAGAACCCATGTCATTTGTTCTTGGAAAGGCAGCCCGGCAGGGAAAGTCATATTCAGCTGGTATTGGGACCGTTTAGTAACAGTAAGGCTTCCAACCGACGGACTTTTTGGATCTTGGTGGATTTGATGCACCACACACACATCACATATGTAATTTTTCTTGGACAGGAATCCATCGGCCAAGATATAGGTTGGGAGTTTGGAGGGTGTTTTGTAACTGAACGGTGCGTGGCAGTAGGAACTCTGGAAACTATTGAAACGCTATGAGAAGCTAGAGGGGTGCGTTCCCAAGTTCTTCATGTTCAGCATCCATCTGGGGTCCATTGGCATACCGGACTGGCCAAGTTCCCAAGTACAATCAGAATCAGAATCCTACAGAATGACTTGGTCTTACACTGGCCATCCTGGCCATCCTGCGTCCTCGTGTGTTTTTGGGGAAGTCATCCACCAAACGCGCTCCAGTACGCATGGAGGCCCATGCAAAGGATCTCTGGCCTAGAAGCACCATCAAGAGTGGCACATACAAGCCACCACCACCAATACCCGCGCTCAGGGCGAGGCCTCGGCCCCGACGTGGGCGTGGGAGGGTTGGTCGCTTTAGTAGAACTCGCCCTTGGGATTGGTCGTCCCGGAAGTTTCGTTCAACTGGAACCAGAGTTGAAGAGTTCCCTACAGATCAGGTGGGACTTCACCCGCCTTGACTCTTCAGTCCGAAGTCACACCACGAATATGGAATTGTCAGGACCAGGTTTTATGAGCAACCACTCACCGTTCAGTTGCAACCTGAAGGAGTTTGGTAGACCTGTTCAGGTTGAACATCCTTAGAACGAACTGGAGTGAGAGTGGAACAAACCAGCGTCACGACACGACGCAGGGTCGATAGCGGCTTGGGTAGATAGGCCGAGCTACAGAGGTCTCGTTGGTTAAACCACCCCACCCGAAAAATATCTTTGGGCTTCACGTGCAGCCATATATGATCATATATGGTCCATGCCAGTCATCTGTACCTCATTAAAATCACACCATGCCATGCCATGGGATACAAAAGCCATCCAAGAGCTGGCCGCTGTGCCCAATTGTGTGCTCCCGATGCCATCCCAGGTTTAATGGTGGCTCTATGTAGCTCTCGTATGTTCAGTTCAATCTATACAATTACCTTGTTATCCTTGGGTGGCTCCATCTCCTGCTGCATCCTGCTGCAGAAAATCCTGGTTTCAAGGCCATAGTCAGGAAATGTCAGGAACACATAGGCATAGTGGAACATCTTGATTTTCTATGGCCTATGGAAGCACATGTCTGGGTAAATCGTCAACAAGATGAGCACTCCTGCAACAAACCTCACAGGCAAGCCAATTCAAACTGCCAAGTCTCCACTGATGAGGAAAAAAATGATGGCTGCCGCCACATCTGCACCAGATGCTGCACCTTTTTGTGCACAAAACTGATGCTCACAAACTCACAGCTGACAAATTCAATCGAATGCAGATGGATACGAATCTTTGCTAAGTGGGGCTGGGGAAATTCGAGCAAATCTTCGGCTTGGACTCTCACAGTGGTTTCAGAGTAGATGGTGCAATTCCCAAAAGGTGGTTCATAAGGAACCCCATCCAAAAGACATCTTGGGGTTTGTGCTATCTGCTCTGAAACCCAGAGACCTTGGCCCAGCTACTTGCCTCCAACCAGCCCTCGAGGAAGGGACAGGCATTGACAGGCTTTGAGGGTCTGACCCAAAACTTGACTGTTGCATGATGTTGAATGCTGCTTGCCTTTGGAGTGAGATGACCTTTTATTCAGCATCGCCTTTGCTAGCAAGGCACCATAATAAGGGAACACCGTATGTTTTTCAAGATATTTTGCCATGTCGGACATGTCACCGAGGTCGACCAGTGATGGGGCCTTTTTCATACAGAACCTACGAAACGAACGATAAAAAAGCCCAATCGACGCATCGACGACGGGTTGTTGCAGCGTAGTTGGCAGCTGTAGCCAAGACACCAAAGAGCGGCTTGTGTTTGCATCGAGACAGCTGGGAGTCACCTCGAGACCACCGCAGCGAGGTGTTTTCCCCACTGAGGTTGGATGGTTTCTTGTCACCACGAGTGTCGGAACGAGGAAACCGAGGAGCGGAGCGGGTGTCGACTCACCGGTGTGGACGTTTTGAACGAAAGAAACGAAACATCAAACGTCCAATTCCAGGAATGTCGAATGGGTCCTTCATATTGTGCCTCTAGTTGTTTGGGGACCCTGAGTTGAGCAAACTACGTCAACTGGCCCAATAGCATGTAGATGTATGTAGTGCGTGCTCTTACTTGAAGCATCTTCAAGCTCTAGATGCCATCACTGGGCCGAACAACTTGCTGCTTAGTCTCAACACATTGGACCACAAAACTTCAGAAAATATAAGCTAGGTTTGAGGTCACTTAAGCCTCCTAAGGGTCACTTAGGAACCTTCAAAAGGTCACTTTGAAGAAGCTGGTATATGTTCGTTTGATCATTGTCCAGCTTCAATGTGTGCTCATGCTTATATTTTTTCCTTCTTTCTCGTATAGGCCAGTTCCAGTTTTTCACCCCGGTCGCAGATCCGCATGGGGAACATCTCGCACTGCTCGTCCGCGAAACAGCCCTCCGTGCACATCTCGTGCTCGGCCACACACACCGCCGAGGGCCCACAGCGCCTGACCGTCCCACGGAGCTTTTGCCGCGGTCACGACCGGTCCGGACACAGCTCCGAGTCTGGCACGGCCGGACGGTCGGACCCTGTCGACAGACCCCGTACTGAACAACCACCCTTGCGGGCCGTAAAACGAAGGCAGCTCCGAATCGGTGGAGTGCCGGATCGTGTCTGGGAGTGAGGTGCTTCGGTGGTTTAAGTTTAAGTCTTTGTGCTGGGTTTTCCTCAGACGGTCGGGACCGGGCTGGCAGGTTCGGAGGAGCGAGCCGGGAGAGACGAAACACAAAGTCGGCAAAGACTGACTTGGGCGCTTTTGTCTGTCCTTGGTTTGCCAGTTTGGGAATATAGGATGAAATAGGATTGAAGAAACCACCTCTCCGAAAAGAGTGACCGCTTACACGAAGTAGGCTAGGGCTCCGTTTCTGCTCGCCGTAAAGATCATGCAGCGGGGGATCAATCTAGAACTGCACGTCATGGCCAACAAACCAATTCTTACTCCGAGCCATGGAACATAGGGGTTGTTATTATAGCCATACCTTTTTCCACCTGTTCTATCAACCACGGGGTGTGCCCCTCCCCTTTTTGGTGAGGAATTGGGTGGCAAACTCACCAAAAGCTTTGGCAGCACATTCCGCTTGCCCCATGCTCAGCTGTTATATAACTCTTATTTCTTTCCGGCGCCACAATATCACGCGCGCCTGAAGGCACCAGTGAAGTTCAGCCATGACTGACTACGCCAGTCCTCCAGCGCTTCGCAAAGGAGAACAAAAACACCCTGTCGAATCCAGTTGTTTCTCCAAAATGCGACCCCTTGTCGTGTCCAGGTCAAACGACTGAGCCAGTCACTTGATGGTGTCTTTTCCGGTTCATGACGCAATTCATGACACTCAGAACATGCGTTCATTTGAACAGACACCTGCACACTATAAGATTATAATTACAGTATAAGAGCACAAAGAATCCAGGCATCCACACAACTGACTTGACATGAAGAAACACGTCAATTACAACACATCATCCCATTGAGCGGTGTCAGCCGGTCTACGATCTGTCAAACTCATGAACAGGTGATCTTCCACATCATGATGTGATTCCCAAAATCACCACGTTGTTCCCCATGGTGGAGCCCTTCTGAATGTCCCTCTGCTGTATAGGTATGAACACACGCTGTCCGCTGCACACGTCCGTCAAACGGAGCGTCTCCACCCGGCCTGTTCGGTGTAGCAACCACCCAGATGCCAGAAAGCCAGATCGCCATGCGGCTGGAATGAGGAACAGGCCACACGGCCACCAGAGGAATCGTGGACCACCAGCACCTGTGAATGTGTGAAATTCACAGAGTTTCTGGGTCTTTTTAGGGGCGGATCCTCTATAGGATGAATAGGTTTGAAGGCCTGGGTTCGCATTTTTGAAGTAGTGGTTGCAAAAGCATAGCTGGACAGGGGCGAGGGTTTCTTCGAGAACCACAGTCACTCAAAAATTCTTATGTTCTTTTCTGTGTTATTCACTCATAACACCCAGCATGGGATTTTGAACACTTCTAGACTTCTAGCATCTTCTAGTTTTTTTTCTATGATATCCTATCAGAGGGGTATGTGTGGGCAAGTGAGTGATAGTGATAGGCCTTTGCTGGAAGCTGAAGGGACATCCCGGCTTCGGCCAAAAGGTGTTTACTGTCCTCGTCTCCTCGTCGTTCCATTTTCTCTTGGAGCTGGACTCGCAGGTCCCAACACTCCAGTTCAACTACCTCCAACAAATTGAAGATCCTTCCGTGACCCTGAAACCGCCTGAAACAAGATTGGTCATTGACCTCATTGACCTTTCACAGATCGAAATGATGGAATCAGCCACCTGGGATCGAGGGATCGACCTTCCGGTCTTTTCGCGGAACCCGCCTTCCCGCCCATCTCACGGATGCTTATGCCCGTCGCAATGGACCTTAAAGGAAAGGCTGAAAGGAACGTCTGCGACACCGGAAGCTCTATTGGTGTCATGTTGCATCCAAAAGACCTAGCGACAAGAGGAGCCATATTGGTCATACGCTTTGCATCCCTTTAAACAATTTACAAAGGAAGGCGGCCAAAACGGCCCGTTGGCACATCCTCCGTGTGAGCACCAGGAACATGGGGTTCAACGGCTAGATGGATGAGCAGGTTGGATGCGTACACAACCTTTGACAAAAGCAGACCATGCACGAGACATCTTCCATGTTTCATCCATCTGCAGCCAATATGTGAACATGTTCAAAGAAGTCCCTCAAAAAGGCTCCTGCCATCCAATCCCAATCCCAACCTCACCTTTTTCCCCTCTCGCTCCACTACCCGCCCCCTTATATAACCCCTCCTTCGTTCCACTAGCACCTCCAACGAGCGGTCTAGCGTCGAACTCCTCCGCTCCGTTCCGCTCCGAGGGGCACTTGGGCAGAGGGTGAGGAGGCATTATAGATGGGTCCGAGACTCCATGGGTCTAAACCGACGGAGTCGTTGAAGAAATGACCTCGGCAGCTTCCGGTTGTTGTTCAGGCAAAAGGGCAAAAACAGGACACGCTTTCCCCAGCAGAATCGATCAGGTTGAGTGGGGAGGAAAGTGAAAGGGGATAAAAACCCACAGGGTTCTGGCACATCCCACCAGATCAACTTCGCCAATAAGCAGGCTCTCTTGAGCACAGGGGCCCTGCCTCCAGCGTCTTCGCATGTGTTGCCACTGTGCACATGGATGCCGCAGGCATTTGGTGTTTGCGACGTGTTACCTTGGCACGAACCACCGCCACGCGACAAGGAACCTGATGACCAATGTAGCTCATGAGGCAAACACAAGGCCCGTTTCTTCGGTGTATGCATGTAAGCGCATGCACACTTCGACCAATGACTTGGACCAGGCGACCCCTGAAGTGCGACCGGAGAACACTCCAGGGATGTTTGGTGAGTCCAGCCACCGAGTCCTAAACTCCTCAGGAAGGTCCTTTTTCTTGACATCAGGTTCAAGAGGTTCCCAGTGATATATCGCTTCGACTCATGTTCCATGGAAGTCCGAATTCCAACAAACTTGGCAAAGGAAACAAACATGAAGCAACCACACATATCCACGCACAACCCCACCCAGCCACAACCGACCCCGAGCAACTCACCTGGACCGAGTTTATAGTGACCGGGATGTTGTTCCCAGAACAAGATGGACTCCAAAATGGACTCCAAAATGATCCCACATTCATCATTGAAGGCAATGGTTTTGACTTTGACCCTTCAGGCACGGGAAATACCTCCAAAAGTTAAGAAATGGAACTTGACTTTGACGCTCAAGATGTCCAAATCCCAGTCACTTTGCCCACACACTGGATCAACGCCAGTCAATGCGTAAGATACGACCTCGGGGTTCTCAGAGGCGAAAAGAATGCCACTGGGTTTGGTCGTTTCCTTCATAAGTTGTGATATGGGTGTGCATAGCCCACCTGGAAGAAGGAACATAAATCAAACGCATTCAAAACCCTGGGGCGAGGGCGAGAGGGGTCTCCCTCTTAAAACCCACATCCCATGGAATCCATACCCCTTTATGAAGGCTCTGTCTTCACACTCACTACACTGCGAAGCTCGCGAAACCTGCGAAAACCGACACCGCACCTGGTGCGTCATTTGGCGACGTTTCTTCCGTTCAGTTCAACAAGGATCGTTCAGTTCTTTCGTTCCATGACCTGGAAGAACATGGAAGAACCCAGATTATCGTGGTTTTTCCTCCGGAAGGCTCATTTAAAGATCCTCTTACCTGAAGTGGTCAAGGAACTGAATAATACCTTTGCAACGTCTATGCACGGAGCCCACATCTGCGTCTGCCCAGGATTGCAGGCCCGGCCTGGATTCCAAAGCCTGCCTTGGAGATATTCACGCTGCCTTCCACCTCTAAGCTTCCCTGGTACCCTGCCAGCCACTGGTGCACTGCGCTTGCTGATAAGCAAACCATAGACATGGGGACATGGTAGGACATGTCCGAAGGGCATGTGAAGGACGGTGGTTGGGGTTTTCAACCCACTTGAAAAATACTAGTCAGAGGGTCCAATCATCCCCAAGTAAGGGTTGAACATAAAAATATCCGAAACCTTTACATATTCTTAAATATATACACTCCCGAAAACTCACATGGACCGGTTCGACTGGCACCCTGAGTGAGACTGTTTTCCTCGGTCGCTGCACCAGTGGTTTACTCAAATAACTCAACTGGCATGACAGCAATTCATTCATCAATCAGGACTGCACCGAAACTTCTGTGATCAGCTCGGCGCCTGGATATCTCTGAAAGTTGTTGGCCACCAACACGGCACCGAAAGCAGTTGCCTTAGAGGAAATACAGCTCAAGTCGTGCAAGTATATATATATATTACATTCTGCTCAACAAACTATAAGAACACGTGCTTTTCTTAGTCTGTCTGTCGGAGCTGAATGTAAATGTTCACACATGTTCACATATTTCCATGTGGAGATTGACAGAGACGTCACAAGGTTGGAAGTGTTGTGTCGGAATCCTTGGTCGCCCGAGAAAGAATCTGCGTCGAAAGGATGCACATCAACATCCCTATAAAGGTGTCAAACAGCAGCGAGTTGTTGCGTCCTCTTTCGTTGTTACGTTGGAGTAAGCGACGACGCACGACATCTATATATATATAATTCGGGTGGCCGGCAACAGCAGCCATGGCAGCATGACTTCGGTGATTCCAAGCAAATTCTTCTAGGCAGTCCACATGTCAATCTGCGCTCTTTGTGGGACACTGTTGTGACGCAGCATGTGGAAGCTGTGAAAAAAAAGGCAGCTGAGAAGTAAATGGGCAACATGAAGCCGACTATCCTGGCCAGCTAGGGTTTCAGCAGGTGTCTGTCTCATGCCAATTAACCTGAAGCTCAATGACTGCGCAGGTTCGTCCGCAAGATGGGCTTGAGGGAACATTGAAAGACAATAATCAGAGAGCTTCTCCAGTCACCATTCGGTCTGGTTGGGACTGGCTTCATCCGTGCAATTTCAGCACGCGATTTCGGCATAGCTTCTTGTTACTAGTAGCGATGGCCTCCAACCTACTTGCGCCTCCACCCAGACTGGCATCCTTGTTACTGGTAGACTCGGACAAAACAGGACTCCCAACAAAAGACGGTCACAACACGACCATCCGAAACGGTGAGTGCGTCACGGCGACGGAACGGTGCGTCACCGAGGCTTCCAGGCTTTCACCGAGCCAGTCATCAAGTCGTCCATCCCAGGATGAACCAAACTGCAACCCGAAGCTATCAACCACCACGGTGTGGCATAAATGACACCGACTACATCATGCCATATTGGTAGGATGACGGATACTACACAAGTCAAGTTCAGAATGATAATGATTCATTTTGCTCACTATGATGCAACAAAAGCTGAAAACACATTGTCTTGTAGCGAGAACATGCTCTTCCAAGATTCATGATCTATGAAAAAAGTCTGCGGTACACAACAAAATCACTTTAGACGAGGACCTGTATTATCAAAGGTGAGAAAAAGGACATGACATGAATCTATACTTGACTCATAGGATATTACATATATATATATATATTTGGATATATGGCAAGGATTGTCATTTAGTATCATGAATAATATATTTCGATATTTGACAAACCCCTACAAGTCCAAAGGCCAAGTTTAACCTGGTCCTTGACTTCATTGAGTACTGGCTTTGCATGACCGGATCCAGTCAAATGAGGTCTTTGACCTGTAGGGAACCCTAGAGCTCCAAGTACCTTCCTTTCGATGGTGTTTGGGGTTTGGAGGGTCCAAATACTGTCTGAGGAGGCCCAAATACCACCCCTGTCGGACATTTCGTTGTTGATCCGCATCACTTTCCCGGCCAGATCGCAGCAGCTGGGGCACCTCTTTTTCATTTCTTCGGATCGGGTTTCCAACTGTGCGATCGCATGCATCGCTCGCTGATGCAACGCCTGGGCGGTCGAGTGTCCCGCCTTTCGCCTGAAGACGGCCGGGCGGCGCCGAGCCCGTTCAACTGAAAAAGGGTGGACCTGGTTTTGTACAATGGTTGGAATCCCGGGGCAGGCATGTGTCTAATATGAATATATAAGTTTGAAAAACAATTCTACAATATATACACTATAATGTCGTATTAATATCACCAAACTATACCATTTTACAGCCACCGTATCTAGCCGTCCTGGTCCTTTAGACTATCACCTCTGAGTCATCTTCTTGATACCGCACATGATTTGCAGCCACCGACATACCGCGCATGCCATCGATGGCCAGCTCCTTACCTTTAGGCGCCCCACCATCCGCGGATCGCCGTGGACACTTAAGCCGTCCTGCAGTCCCGTTGCACGTTGAAGAACGCAGTTCAACGTCTCGAAGCTCTCGGTGCCGAGAAGTTACGCCTTTGAGACTTGGAGATGTCGATTATGACGGTGAATAAGGAATGAACGACGGAACGAACGCAAGAAATCATGAATATATGATATTCTTAGACACAATCAACAATATTTAAAACAAATACAACAAACATACACTACCCCTCCTACAGGGTGGGGTAGGCCTCAAGTTTCTTCCTACAGGGTAGGCCGTTCAGTATCAACGTGGGCCGCTCCCACGCAGTCCGACTGCGCAGCACCGAGCAACGAGCAACGCAAGGTGCGATGGGCAACATGTCCAGAATGTTTCACTTCTTGATTGAAACATCTCAACACAATTAATCAAACTGGTTGGACATTAGACTGCGCCGTGGACAGGACGCAGCCTGGGTTTTGGCCTCCTCATTCTCTGAAAAGTTCATACGATACGCACGGTCCCTCTAAATCAGTCCTCCAAATCATCTCTGAACTCATCCTGTACGCACGGAAAAGAGTGCGGCGCCACAGTCATGGCGAGACTAGCAAGGGCAACAAGAATGCCTGGTCACTTCTTTTGAGAGGTTCATCATGGTACATCATCTTTTATGACTTAGCATAGACACCTGCAATCCAATCCTAGTTGTTTAAGCAAAACGTTGGGATGCTTGATAAGGCCAAAGTTGACGCTTCAAACGACCCAGTCGAGGCTTCCAATTGTGCACCTCGACAGGAAAACTGGTTCTGCCATTCAGCTGGAAGATCGTGCTGAACATTTAGAATTCGCCTTTAAGGTTAAATGCTGCAAGGCTTGTTGAGGTCTTTGGGATAACTTACTTAAAATGGCCATTTAAATGGTCTTTGAGTCTTGAGTCTCTTGGAAGCAAACTTTGAAGGACTGAAGACAAAGCAATTTTGCCTTCTTTCCCAAGACCTTCTGGTTAAGACTTCTACAGGCTGGCTTGCAAGTGGTTCAAACACGACTTTTGAGGCTCTTGCATGGCGGCTATGCAAACCACAAATAGGAATGCTCTCAGTTTGATGCTCAACACCATGCCATGAGGGTTTATTAAACATAGATAACTTCTAGTCCAAATTGTTGTTCTCCACCAGAATAATAATCAAATGACGTCAGAAAGGTTGCACAGCCCAAGAAAGGTACAATGAATCACATGTCTTTACATTTCAAGAATGCCAAGGGCCCATGCAAAGCGCATTCCCCGGATCCTCATTCTCTCCTTTATGATGGTCTGGAAGACTTGAAGGCTCCGTGCCAAGGTCACACCCGTGAACATCTCCCGAAGAACTTTAGATGCCTTCGAAACTGAAAACGTCAAGAACCTCACAAACATGATTTCTCAAGTGCCCGTCCCAGAGCCTTATTAATTATATGATATCATCATGCTTTTCAGGGCGGGCCGGGCAGATGCTTGGTGAGCTTTGAGTCATTGATGGGTACACCCGGGAAGAGACCCACATGGAACCTGATGGTATGGACCAGACTGGAAAACAGTCTGCCATCTACAACCCGACGTGGTTTTCGGGTTCCATGTGGGTCTCTTCCAGGGCGTAGCGATTCTCAATGTCCAATAGATTGTTCAAACTCTTCAGAGTAATCGCTGAGTAGCGATCCGTGAGTTTTTTTTTCTTCAGCAGGTGGACTGGTCGATCCTTTGTCCTTCTTCCACGAATTCCAACTGGGAGCTCTCCCAGTGAAAACGATGAGAAACACTACAACACCACAACACCATACAACCCTCCCATTGATCACTTCTTCATACTTCTTCAGTACCTCTTCATGGAACAGAATTCGATGGTGGCACCGTGGGATCTAAATGGTCTGGCACCATGTCTGGTACCAGACCCGTGGCTCTTGGCTCCAAGCCTCCTCCCGGTCCTCTCCCCGACTGCCCGCCTGCTCCGGACTGCGGCGTCGACGCGACGGGTTCAGCACTCGGATGGGTCGCGACGCCTTGCGGCGGTCGCGGTGGTCGCGGCGCCGGCGGGCCCAAGGGGACGTTGGTTCTGGGGGCGTTGGAGGGTATTTTTGGGGGGATGGTCCGAGGTTTTGTGTGATGTCATCAAACATCTCATGGAGTCAGACACAATCCAGAATGATCCAAGGTTTGGAGTCTTTTGTGCGGTATCCGGGTCATAGCAACCCCTCTCTTGAGAGGGGAAGCTTGGTCAACTCAACCTTTGACCTCCACGAGGTCTGAGATCGAGGTGCCTACCCTCCAACAGCTCTTTCTCAAAGAGGCTTCACTAAGTGGCCCACATGGGATTCCAAGAGGCATGAAACTGGCGCCTAGCTCAGCTCCCCGCTACCCAGCGAGGCATCACGCCCGCCATGTCCCACCACCAGGCTCGGCTTGGCCACCTGCCTTCTGGCTTTGCAATGGCTCGGCGAAGCCCGTGTGCGCGGCCTCGATGAGGGTCGCATGGCGTCGATCCGAAGCGCCGAGCCCGAGCCGCCACGAGCCGCCACGAGCCCCGGTGTCTGAGCGCGTGGACTGCGGGATCTAACGAAGAGATCAGCTTGGAGACCACGAGCCTCACGGTGCTCAAGAAGAGAACTTGAGAAGAAAACACAGTCGTCTTCAGTCTATAGAGATCGATATAGAGTCCACATAGGCATAATCATGCATATCATAGAGAGTTGTGAATGAGTGGACTCACCCAGTGAGTACTCTCCGGTCCGCAAACCATCTCTGCATCCCTGGCTGTGACTGCTCCGTTGCTGACACATGTCCAACGCTTGCAGACCAGTCACCCTTGATTTGGCCCAGCATGCACAGCCCTCGAACAGGTCGCTTGATGAATCAATTCGACCAGCGAATGTTGGTTTCGTGGTTGTTTCCGGTGATTTTCACCAGAAACTCTCATTGGATGATCCACGACCCAAAAAGGTGACTTTTGAGCTCAGGAAACAGTCGAACAGGCCTCACACAACTCTGCCAACCCATCACCTGACCGCATGAAACGAACACGTTCCTTCCGTAAAGGGGATCGATGGCCAAACAACCCCCTGGCCGGTTAGGAACCGTTCTTTCTCCCTCCCCACGAGTCCCTCGCCGCTGTGCCATGGTGAGCTGCCTCAAGGTACCAGTCCTCACTGCTTCGTAAAGCTCCGGCAAACGGATGCTGTGCATGGCCCAGCCCATTTGCATCAACTGACCTCGGTCATTGTGATCAAGGAGACACACACCGTTAAGCATCTCCAATCGACATGACAGCAACACACTCACACATAGATTTAAACACGAACATCTCAACTTTACTTCAATCTGATCTCCCTTTGAAGCCCGAACCCACTCTTTTTCACTTGTTCACCACGCCAGAAAAAAAAAGAAAATAACAAAACATAACATCATAGAACATCACAGAACCACAAGCAGAAAAAAACACACACACACACTCACAAACACACACACACACACACACACACACACACGCAGTTGAAACCAACACCACCAACCAACGTCCGCCGCTGTTTCACACCGCTTGCTCCACACCTAGACCACCCCGCCCACGCAGCCCGCCCACGGGCTCTCTCCGTCGGGGGGGCGCCGTCGCAGCTCGGCGGAACCGGTGAGGCGCTGCGCGGGCGAGGTGAGATCCTGCCGAGGCCGAGCCGAGAGACGCCGGCCGAGCCGAGAGACGGCGGTGCGGGTGCCGTAAGCTTGGTCGCTGGGGGTCGAAGCTGGAGGTGGAAAAAGGAAGGAAAGGGGATGATGGGGAGGTGGAAAAACATGGAAAAACCCAAGGGTGCATTGTGGTTTTGGATGGTTTTGGAGATAGGGAATTGAAGAGCAGGACGGTTCACCTGATCCACATGAGCAGCGGAACGGCATCGGCTTCGGCGTTCTTCGGGGCTTCGCTTCGCTTCGCCGCTCGAGACGAAAGCCCGGTTTCCTCGTCCTCGACAGTAGAAATGGAAACCGTCCGAACTCGGTCGAGGTATATGCCGGGCTCCTGGCCCACCTGAGAAGATGGGGTGGGTGCCAGAAACCTCCTGGCCCACATCCTGAGGATATGGGCCAGGAGCCCTATAGGGATGTATACCCAAACGCACTTGACGGGTCGGACCGGGTCGAAGGAAGCCCGGTTCAAGAGCGGACCGGGACGTCTCGGGCAGGACAACGGAGCGGACCGGGGTACGTTCAGCCAGAATGGAAAGGACACCCGAACGGCTTGCTGCGACCCTGGAGTGATGGAGTGACCGGCCTTGGAAATTGAGGACTCCAAGTGAACTGCAAGTGACGAGGTTGGTCCATGAAAACTGGAGAGTATAACATGTCCTCAACTTCAGAACTTCAGGCTCCTTTCTGCTTTAAGACTCTAAGGTTACTGCAAACATGTCACAAACAGCAGCTGATCCTAAAGCTGCACCCCTCAGCTCAGCACGTCAAGCTGATCTATGCCAGGTGCCTCCAAGCTGAGCACGTCAATGAAGTGCATCTGCTTCTTGAAGACAATTGGCACACGATGGCAGCCCAAGACTTGCTGTACCTGGCACATCTGGCCCATCTGGCACATCGCCATCGTTCTTCACTCTCGTGCAACAAAAAAAAGAAACCACCGACGTCCAACACACACGGCGCGTCTGACGCTTGGACGTCACCTGCAGGTCACCGGTCCAACACAAAGAGTCTCGGTGTGACTCAAAGAGTCTCGGTCGGGCGAGTCTCAGCCTCCGTACCCGATCTTCCTTCATCTGGTTGATAAAATGCCGGTGGCAACGCCGCCCTACGACCCGGCCAGGTGCCTAGAGAGCTCTTTCCAGTGTGAAACATGAAACCTTCACAACCCAAGAGAAGGAGGAAGCTGCACAACCTGGGTCTCTGAGTCTATGCGTTGAGTCTACTATACTGGTAACTGGATGCACTGGGCATAACAAGAATTTGAATATTACTGTACTATAACAAGAATCGATTTATTTGATTTCTTTGAAGGCCATTCCAAATCCTGTTATGACCACACCCGCCCATACCAAGCTTACAGTAGGCAACCAAGTTGGATGTGTTCCGGACATTGCCTTAAATCAGTCCCATGTCATTGATAAATCATAGCAGTAAAGGAGTCTCTGCTCGACCCTGGCTTTCGAACAGTCCGTTGACATCAATCACTGGAATCTTCCTTCGATCCCAAACCAACCTCATCCAACCTCCTTCCTTTATTCGGATCTGACAGCGGTGTTGAGAGATTTTCTGCAGAAAAGAGAAGCGGAGAGTCGCAATGAACAAAAAGGAAGCAGCGCCTTGTGAGGGATGTGCAGTTGAGACAGGGTCACGGTCAACCTCAGTGTCAAACCACTCATGGGCTTTATGATGCCTTGTGCCAGCAGATTCAAGGGAAGTACGTAATCAAGGCTCACAACTAAGTGTATGCATTCCGCACACATTTGGTAAGTTAAGCTTCATTTGCAAAGAACTGGCTGCTGCTGTGGCTGCAAAAAACGAATTCCTGGGCTACATGACCATGTCTCATAGCTGTACCTCGCAGACCAAGGGCAAAGACCCATGTTTGGATTGCCAAAGGTCAGTTCTCCGCTGGATTGGCTTTCTTGACACTCCTCAAACAAAAAGCAGTAGAGTCTGCGTCGATATTCAAGTGGTGACCCTTGGGGAAACAAATAGAAACACACATCAACGCCTCATGCTTGCTTCACGGATTCCACAACGCCGGGGGAAAGTGAGCCCGCCAGGACCTCCGTTCTAGACTTGCTCGTCACCGGTAACGGCGGGGCCATCGCACCGGTAACGCCGCACCTCGCGGCGGAGATCTGCTTCCGAACACGTTCGGCCCGTCGAGGCCTCACGCCGTTCAGCCCGTTGGGCTGTGGTCCCAGATCGGACCATACAAAGACCGATGAGGTCAGTGGTTGAAAATGGAAGGTTGGGGTCAATGTATGTAAATATATGCCATACATGGATGGTGTGGGATTTCAAGTTCCATTGCCAAAATCCTGGAAGCAGCTGGGGTACAGCTGTTCAAGGGTCCAGCAGTTATTGTTGCTCGAGTTCTTGCCCGGTTAAGGCCCTAGTCTTGCTTCCCACCAAGTGGACCTTGTCCGTTCTTGATACCTCGATCTCATTATAGCTTGACCTGCCAAATCAAAGGTCCGAGGTGTTCTTCCTACAAACAATAGTTTAAAGTGCAAGCACTTTAGTGCTTCTTCATAGATTGGATCCCATGCAAAGATGTTCTGATCCCCATTCCTGGTGCATAGAAAACAGAACGCACATGGGACGCATGGGAACACACCGGATTCACCGATGTTTGGCTAGACACAAATCAGTTCACCACCATTCACCCTGTAAAGTGCCTCCTACGGTAACAGTACTTACTCCATCTGTGACGTTTTAGATCTTTGGGATTCTTTGGGTATGTTAAAACAGATAAGACACGCCTGCCCGATGCAGATCTGTCATGATCTGTCCATCTCTGTCCCTTCGGAAAATGTTCTTCATCGGGACCTGCAGACTTCTTCAATGTATCACAGGCATGGTGGGCAACCCCTCTAGGCACACACCCCGTGGGCTTCAATACCAGTCCACTATGTGGAAGGTTGCACACCATCACCGTGCCCAGGTATGCGATGATGGATGAGTTGTCCGATTCGTTCATCTTTGTGGCAAGCGCCGCGGCGCTGGCTGTCGTGACGCGCCAGCCGCCGATGGCTAAGTGGAGCATCCGGCCTTCGAACCCTTGCGGCCAATGACCAGTGGCTGATGACCCGAACCCCACGTGTTTGGACACATGAGCCCACCTTGAACTCGGAAGTGGAACATGGCCCTTGGACCTGAAAAATGACCGTGTTCAAACCGAAAACCAAACAGGTGGCAAACTCCACATAACCATGATCCTTTTAGGCTAGGAGTATAATTCTTGTACTCCGGGCAAGGACGCTATATTAGGTGGAGGCCATCGCAAGTAGGTTGGAGGCCATCGCTACTAGAAACAAGAAGCTACTAGTAACAATTAATTAAGGTTAAAGACCACTGGTGAGTGCTGACTTCTCCACCCATTGTCACCCAGTGGCTGCAGTGGGACGTATTGGTCCTCTCGCGGCACCTCTTCAGCAGAAGCAAAAAAAAGAATGGTCGGCGGTCTGGGATGTGGAATGAACCGGCGGAATGGATCTTACTTTTGATCCGACTCTTAGAACAAGACCCAACGGCCCTGGGCCTTGGGTCTGCGGGCACATAGTGCGCCACGAGGAAAGTCTTTAGAAGATGGAGGCCAGTCTCCACTAAGGTGCTATACGTTATGTGTGTGCATGGATTGCAAGCTGCACGCAAAGACAAACCATCCAACAATTTCAAAAACATCCAGGGAAGCTCAGTCAAATGTCCACTATCCTCCCCTCTGAAACCTGCAGTTTAGCCAGTCCAGTGCAACCAAGCGCAAAGTTCTGCCCGATGGTAGGTCCACAATAATCCACAATATATCCATACGGATCATCTCCACCATACCCCCCCCCTCAGCCTAAAACAGGTTGCTGGCTTCAAATGCCAACTCACTTACGACTACGAAACATAATCATTACGAAACATAATAATAAACATACGAGTCAGTGGAATCAATCATCCCAAGTAAATAAGTAATGATTTACTTAATAAACATTAAACATATATAGTAGAAAACCACTCCGCCCAAAAAATCAACAAAAAACAACAACTTCCGAAGCTTGCCGATTCGCCTATTGCGGACCCCTCCGCCTATTGCGGAACCCTCCTGCCCCCGCAATAGAAACACACGCGAGCGACCAAACACACACAAAAAACATGCGCTGCGAGGAAATCAGCGCTTGAACGCGCTGCGCTGTGTGCGCCGCGCGCCGCGGCGCGCACGACGAAATCGAGACCTCCAAAACGAGCTCGATCCACTCGGAGAGGTCTCTGGACCTGGGCGTCTTCAAGGCCTCTGAACATCCCAAACCGCCGTTGGGCCGGCCCCGGCGAGGCGTTTCTTCTGCGTTTCAAACCTTCTTTTTGGGGGAGGCGTTCGAAATGCAGGAGACAGTGGTGTGTGAAACCCTGGTCAAAGCTAAATGACATGGGATATAGAGGCTATATCTGCTACAAACATGTACAAACATATGTAGGCAGAATTCTTGGCTCAAACCTCCAGTCCTTTCTTGGGTGCCCATCTATCACATTCGATCTCTGGCCACCAAGCGCTCACGAGAGACCTTCCCCGAGCAACACGGCTAGGGAGGCGACGGCCGACCGGTCGAAGGCTCGACTATCGGCCTCCAACCAATGGGAGACGCCCAACCTCCGGGACAAACGAAACCATCCATAGTTTAATAGGGAGACCCCCAAGCAATGGGTAGACTCGTCTACACACCCCTTTTTTTGAGCCCTTGGGTGTGCGGCCCTGATGGGGGTCCTGTACATGTGTTTGCTTTTTGGCGCAATGCCTGAATGGGTTCGGGCCCCGTAATCTCGTTTTTTTTTCGGATGTATTTCATTTCAGCACGAAGAATATAGGTTCTTCTTTTGTTACCGCCAAAGGCAATCGTCGTCCTTGAGAAGCGGGAGCCTCGGCTCACCAGGGTCCACACTCTTCACCAAAGGCCTGGCCAAAGGAGATCTGCCAAACGGACCGCCACGTTCGACCGAGACCGGGATTCGCGCCATGGAGTCCTTGCCTGCCAAATCGATTCTTCGACATCCGCGCCATGGGAATCATGAAGAAGTGGATTTGGCATGATGTCTACGGATGACCGTTTTTTCCGAGCTTGAAACAGGTGGTGGTTCTCACTCCACGCTCCAAGGATCGATTTGAAAGCACCAACAAACCCCAAAGCCCAAAGCCAAAGGAACACTGGCACCAGCGGAGGACTCTTCGCTCCACTGAATCCCACAGTCAGGAAGACTTGGATCCTCCCCACTGCTCGCTCGTTCCGGGCTCCTTTTTGGGGCTTCCACATCAGTCACGGGCAGGTGGAGAGCCCGTCAGGGTGCGGCGTGCAGGGCGCGAAGCATCTGCAAATGATCGCTGGAACTTGCCGGCTGCAAGTGCTGCAGCACCTGCACTGGCTGGGAGCAGGAAAAAATCCCATTTTTTTTTCCGCTCAACAAATGCTCCCTCGCATCAGTCTAAGTGTAGCTTCATGGATGGATCCAGCATGGTTTTCGGAGGGGTTCCGTGGTAGTCGCTGAGCTGAGCTGGTGGTTTGCCTGTTTGCCTTTTACTGGCTGGGAGCACATCTCTTGGACCCAGAATTACAAAACCTCGCAACTCGCAGTCGATCTGGAACATGGGCCTCGACATTGTGAAAGGTGTATGTCTCAAAACCGTCGCGCAAAGCACCGAAATCTGCCCAAGTTGTGAACCTGACGCGTCCTGATGAGTGCGACGGTCCTGTTCTTTTGTTTGGTCCAAGGGACCGAGCCACCCTGTTGCTTCCAATGGATCCAACGATCCCAAGAGTAGCAGGCACATGGCCGTGGGTGAAATCCCGGCCACCCTGATTTACCCCTGTGGACAGATTCCTCTATAAGGAGTATCGACCTACCAGGACTGGTGAGAGAGGTGCCATGACTCATCGCCGCGTGTCTCGTCGGTGAAATCATGTGTCTCTCCCGCCCGACCGTTGACCAACTCAATGGCTGAACCGGTTGGACAATGCCTCGAGTAAGTCGCCCAGCAACGGACATTCTCTGGCGATGGCGCCTCGGCACCGGCCGCCCCGTGGGAGTGTTTTCCCGACGGCGATGGTGACTGGTGGCTGATTTCGTCAACCAGGAGCATAGGCATCGCTACTAGGAGCAAGGACACTACTAGGGGCTCATGGCCATACTACTAGTAACAAGAAGCTACTAGTAGCATTGTCACAAGGACTTTCACATTGTGTGTTGGAAATCGGGACGCCCTGAATGAGGCAGAGATGGAGTCCTTCTACCAGGGTCTGATTCTTGGTCGTTTCCAATTCGATGAGTATATCATATATAGTGCCTTGGATGAAGAACGAGTCGTGGCCTGATTGTGAGATGTTGGTCACATCCTTCTTGACTCTTGCGTCTTCGCATCACTGAGGTCGAGGCCAACAGTCTCGATCTTGATTTCAAGGCGGAAAGCGTGGAGGAAGACCTGAAAATAAGAACTGGCACGTCTCAAGTCTGAACCACCAGAGATATGTGAGAGGGATGAATGAAAGACCTATGTTCACACCACTGCTGACGGAAACAACAGGATTCTTTTCCAAAACATGGATGATGTCTAAGCTATAAGACCACCCACAAAGATAGAGGAGCGGTTCTGCAAGTGGTGTAGAAATAGTACAATTACAGTAGTATACAACTATATAACTTATACAACAGTACTGAATATGCATATTAAACCATATTAATGCAGTATGTTGACTACTGTCTTTAGAAATTTTTGGCTGAGGCATGAAACACTCCAAATGCCTCTCCACAAACATCCAATTGGTGAGTGTCATTTAATTAAAAAAAAACAATCATGGAACAATCTCAACCCATTTTCGGATTGAACAAACCGCTTGGGCCGGCTTGGGCCGGCCGAAGCCGGGTGAAGTCTCCGGGCCCCCGCGCCCGAGGACTTGGACTGCTTGGACTGGCTCCATAGGCCTCACCGTCCGGACTGGTGTGGGAGAGACGGTCCGGACTGGTGGCGATTGAGGGCCGGGTCCCTGGCGAGTCAAAGGAGGTTCAGGACTGGTCGAACCTGGAATCCAGTTTCAGGTGCTTCAGTTCCAGCCATACCTAGAACTGTTTGCTGCTTGAGCCATCATCGGAATCCTGACTTTTAGATCCTTTAGCATCTTCGAAGCCCAGTCGATGCTGATGGCAAGACGGCCTATTTTTGGATGAGTCCAGTCTTTCGCTTGTGAGCTTGGATTGGAAGTTAATCAAACCAGTCAGCTCCCCTTCTGTTAGTTAGTTCTTTTTCTTATATACATGGTCACACAAAAGTTCTGAACAAGTAGGGTTTCGTCCACTCATCCCATGTCACAAGATACATTTTGGGGACTGCCATCACTTGCCGCAGCTTTGGACTTATTCTTCTATACTTCGTAAGCACTGGTATACTGGGTATACGAGCTGCGGGCAAATTCTGTATATACAGTAAGAGCTTCAAGCGTGTTTACTCAAGCAAACCAGTTGTGTACTTAACGACCCTGTGAGTTGTTCTTCAAATCAGCCTCAGCACCAGGGTACCAGTCTTCACTCCCTGTAAATCGTATAGTTCTCAAAGTCCCATATACCCAAACACCCACCATTTCCGCAGCAGGCAGGTGAGCCTCATCTCCAGCCAGTGGGTGACCCAGGTGACTGCAATGTGCTCTAATCTGATGCGTACGACCTCCACCGGCCAACCCAACCCGACGACACGACACCGACTCCACCGGCCGACGACGCGACCGTGGTCGTCCGGTGGCGTGAGTTCAGGGTTTGTGAGTTATGCTATCCCTAGGGATCCAGTCGTAGCTTCTCAGGTACGGCACCTGGACCCTCCTGGCACCCACCCCAGTCCCACCTTCTGAGAAGGTACGACTGGATCCCTAGGGTATACGAATGACTCAGAAAAAAGGAAGGCATTGCTGTAGTTCTTCTGTAGCTATTGGTGTAATCTGTTGATCTGTTTTGGCAGTTGCTGCCTCAGTTAGGAACGCCTTGTTGAACACCGATGATGTGCGCATGGCTTTGGGTCTATCTGCTGAGGAGCTGGATCAGCTTAGCTGTGTTCAGCATGGGCAAAAGGCCTGCCACTACCAGTCAAACAAATTGTATCAAAGCGATCGACGATCCTGGAAACGAAACCAACAAATTCGTGATGTTTCAGCTACAAATAGTTACGACCCCGTTTCGTTGTGGTAATAAATTAGGTTCTCAATGGTTTTCATGTTTTTACTTCCAAACAATTGGACCAACAGTTCAGAGTCTTTGAAATGTAAGTAGTCCTGAACCCGGTTTCCCACATGTTGAGCGGTTTGGATTTTTTCAGAAGACGCCGACACCTGGCATTATCCTGTAGACACGGACATGTTCAAGAACATTGATTGTCAGTGGAACCCCCCTTTATGTTCCACTCCGTTGGCCTGTGTGCAGCTTCAAAGCCACTAAACTCCAAGCCTGCGCAGGCGGTGGCAGGCAAGGAACCCTGTATACCAACAGGTGGGGGGGGGCCAAGGTTCTCAGTCTGTTAGCAAGAGGCATACGTATGGTTTGGGTTCAACGGTGGACATGGTTAATTGATGTCCTCATGTTTCCGAAAGCAACATGATGGGTGTGAACTTTAATGAGGAGACCTGAGAACCAAAGACTTCCCCTCTTCCAGGGCGTCTTTGTGAGGTAGGCCAGGACCCCACTAGGTCCTTCTGCAGCCAGGATCAGCCAGGACACCGAACCTCACCCACTGTAGATTCCCTCGGAACACAGCCAATGACGAGAAATCCTAAATCCTGAAAATAAGTAAAGCAAACTAAATAAAAAGTTATTGAACTGTCCAAATGCCGTGGTCATATATGAATATAAATACAATACATGAAAGGACACAACATGTTTGAATGGAATATATGTACACAGTGAGGCATCACTTTCATAATAATGGTTTCCTAAAAGAGACTCATCAGTGATGAATGCTGAAATTTGGTCTAGAGACTCGCAAGAAGTGGGGTGACCAAAATGAGATCCTGTTTGGACTTCCAAGCAATGCGTCGGCACCTGCCCATGATGGTGGGAACACGCATGCTGTATGGGGCCTCTGCCGCAGTGCACATATATGACTGCTGCAAGTGATCCGAACATGGTTTTAGGATGACGTAGCCTTGCACGCTGCCCACACGCATCTCTTCCAAAGGGAGGCCCATCGCAACCAGGCTGTATAATACACGTCGAGACCACTGGCTGCGTAGGCTACCACTCCAAATTGTGGTACAGGACTGCAGCAACAGTTCATTCCATGACAGAACGGTGCTACAAATAATTACAGTCATGATTATATTGTGTGCTACAGTCATTATATAGTATATTGTACTACATACACACATGCACGAACAGAGTTAAATATATACATGCACACATGGCTACATGGAGTCTTTGGGCACTTTGGTCTCGCAGTCCCATCCTCCTTGCCGCTGTCCATGAGATGAGCCACGTCTAAGACCTCGGCGCGGCACCGGCAGTTCCGGTTTTGGGTGAAGTGCTCCAACTAAGAAACCACCTGGAAACCATGATGAAAGATATCGAATTTGATTTGATCGATTTGGGATCTTTCTCGGGTTTTCAACGCTCAATTAATAGAAGATTAGATGGTGTGCCAGCTCTTTGATGAAAGGACTGTTGAATCGAAATCAGTGGCTTCATCGCTTCGCTTCCACGGCCAGAATCGCACTGAAAAAAAGAGTGCTGCTCCGAAACGCGTGGGGGGGGCTTCGAATTCCACCTCCAAAAAATCCGCCGACCCCCGCCGATGGGGGAGCGCGCCAGAGAGCACACTGGTTCACATCTTAAAACCAACCTGGTCACCTCCTCCATCCCATGCTCCTCCAACCGGTGCGTCGTGGTCTGCGTTGCCTCGGTCAAGGCAGACTGCCCGGTCTGATCCACACGGCTTTGATAGATGCCTCGGTCGGGAAGAGGGACCGCGAGCGGGGAAGACGGATGGATTTCTCAAAGACCGTTTGACCAATGTGTGAATATATATTGAGACATATTTTAAAGATATTTATTGTAGATTCAAGCAGCATCAAGCAGTCGAGAGAAGCAAACCGGACCCCTTTCAATCATGAGGGCTGTCCTGTTTGTACAAGGGGGGGCATCTCAGCCATGCGTAAAACTGCAGCGAACACTCTAGCATCCTCCAGTGCATCCTGTTGTGGAGGGCAAAAGCATATATTATTCAATTATATTCAATCTTTTGGCCAGCCTTGTGAATAATGTGCTGATGCCTTTATGCTTCGATCTTACCAAATGTTACCACATGTTCAGTGGACCACGCCAGTCGGACCTGATAGCGTTAGCAAAACCCTTGTCATGATCATGCTTTAGAGTGCAAAAACCTTCCCCTCGAGCATTGACTAAACCAAACTGAAGACCCAAAAAACACGCCCACCTGGTGCAATCTCGCTGGTCTGCAACGGGAAGTCCAACATGGCTGGCCCCTGGTGAAGCTGTCAACTCAATGACTTGACTGTGCCGTATCGGTATCATCTGTGCAAGCAACCTGAGGTCGGGTAGAGGGTTACAAACACAAAATAGAGCGCTTCTTCTCAGAAAAAACCTTGAAAGACCATCTCTTTCAACCAGGAGTCGTCTTTGCAAGCTTTTCTGCAAGCCACCTGCACGACACAAGCCCTACACCGAGGAGGTTCTCCTGCAGCTCCATCTAGCTTGAGAGAGATCGACTTGAAGCACCTTCATGGATTCAAATCATCCGCCTGCTACAAGTCTCCCTCCCCGCCTGTCATTTTTACCGGTCCCCGTCCCACAAGTTTCACTTTTGCCTTCGGAAAATGTCCTTGGCACAATGCCAGGTACTGCTTCTTCACCTCGAGGTCACACACCAAAGTAGGCCATCGGCGGAGTACGGATCGCAGCCAAACTGTGGAGCAAACATCGGTTTTCTGATGTTGTCTGGGGTTCTCCAGTTTTCCTCGGAGAGTTTCCTGGTTTCCTCGTCTAAGTGGCGGAGCAGTCATGAGCAGTCGATGTTTGGTCCACGCCGTCCTTGGCGCCCGGCCCGCCGCGCGTTGAACTCAAACTTGGCCGCAAAGTACCCGGCATAAGTCCTCAAGTTTGGCCACACATAGACTGGAAACACATGACCCAAACACGACAAATGGGACTGGCATACGACATACATTGGGGTGGTTTCAGGGGTCAATGCAGGCATATAGAACACACATAGACTGTTTCCATTTGATGAAGTCTTGCTTTGACTCAATCATCATGAAACAAACACCGTTTAAACCTTCAGCTGGTCGCATTTATAATTTGAGCGATAACCCATCTGCCTCTGAGACTGAGGATCCTCACTTGGCACAAAGCAAAAGTCCCGAAGTGTTCCGGTCAAGGCGGTGGACGAAGCCTCGCAGCTTTTGTCGCACCCCGACTCTGCGACGGGGGGTCCTTAACTGCGCATGCACGGGGTCCTATAGGACTCAGTGCCCATTGCATTTGTTCATGCTAAAAACCATTAACACTCTTAAACGTGCCTTGCATTGTGTGACCCGGTATGACCCGGTATGACCCGTCCCGAGCCTTATACTACTTGGGTCTTGAGCTCGTATGTACACATCAATTCTCTTTAAAAGACACGCATGGTAATATCTAAGGACCTCTATCATTGATCTACCAGTAGCGCGTTGAACGTGCCAACATGCGCCAAACTGCCCATAAAATCCTTCCATCCATCAAAGCCTTGGATCTCAAAAACGGCGCATCTCCCATTCAGCCCATCGGCGCACCGAAGTCTGCTTCAGCATCAGATGCGATGCCATGGGAGCATCGCTCCTGAGAAGTGCAGTAAATGCGCTTGATGTTCCATGGGAGGGATGGGAGTTGCTTTGCTGCTTTGCTCATCTTTATCTACCAATTGTATCAACTGGTTATATCAGATTCTCGCTGGTACAAGCATGAGCAGTACCAGATGGTACAGTGTCAGTATATCAACGCAAGAAGGAAACAATGCAACACCAAACAATCAACGCGAATGGCTTTGCTGCTTTGCTCTTAGATGCAAGACCAGTGCCACGACTGAACGCCTCAGTCTCATCCGCCCTGCCCATGGAATCGTCGCCTGAAACCATCGCTCCATGGACCTCCCGGTCGGACAGCGCCGGCGGGTTCAAGCTCCGAAGCTTTGCTTCTTTGCTTCTTAAAGATGCTGTATAATGTAAGAGTGTATCCGTAACTGGACATGGAAGAGTCTAGATCCCTTTATAAGCAATGGTGAAAGATGTATATCTTCCTGAGCACTTGCAGGCTAGTAAGGACTGGTCATGGAGTAAATCAAGTATGGAGAGATGTATTTGGTACAAACCACCACCGAGGCCCCAGCCTTGCTTGACCAGCGGAGCCTGCACCAACCTAGGTGGAATCCCGTGCCAGATTCTTGGAACGCCTCTTAGTCCATCATTTTGAGAAGCATCTACGTCTTCCAGCTGAAGACCTCCGTTTGTCGTTGGCGCCAACAAAACACGAACTCCTTCGTCGGTGCCTGGCGCAGAAGCGCCTCTTCATCCACGAACGACCAACCGGTCCACTTGGGATCAAAGGTCCAACCAAAGGAATGGGTCGAAGCATCAGCACCTGCTGGTTCTCAGCATCTGCTGGTTCTCCCTGAAACAAGGCATCTGGAAGTGGAACATAGGCATCTGGAAGACCATGTTTTAAGTAACCGCGTGATGGTCTGAGGGAGGGTCACCCCTCCCTCCCCCCCCCAAAAAAAAGAACAACACCCCTTCCCTTTCAGAAGACCCGCGCCATCCACTCTCCTCCAACCAAGTTCGTCCATCTCTATCGAAGCACGCGTTGTTCCCGCACGCGTAGGCGCGTTCGCGCGCGTTGTTTGCAGACGTTGGGGCTCCCGGACAGTCCAGCCCGGGGGCTTCAGCAAGACTTGCAGCTGCACTGTCTCCCACAAGACCTCCGCAAGGCTCGAGACACACGCGTCGCGTCGTAGACGCACTGCGATAGGCGATGCGAGCCTCGCACTGCGAGCGGCACGAGAACTCGCACGGACCGCGCGGGCATGTTTCGCAGGTTTTTTGCTTCTTGGGTGGGGAAAGTAGTTGAAGGAAGAAGTCCAAGGGCGTCAGTTTGTCCAAAGCAGGCGCCCCTTTATCCTTTGTTTGTAAAATAAATGAACAAGTCAGAAAGCAAAAGAACGCCCACCTGGGGCAGCTTGCGAGCAGCCTCCGCCTCGAAAAAGTCAGCAACAAAAACACGACGCCTGATGTGACCAAATCTCTCGTTCGAACCTATGTGGATCTGTTTTTGATTATCGTGCTGATCTTCAGACCTTCCATGCAGTGATACCTCGTGCTTTTCCTCCTGCCATCGTTCGACACGTTCGATGATTGATGAAGCCGAGTGGTCACTGCGCCTTCATGGTCTGCGGAGAGTTACCTGGACGCTTCTCGTGGACCGCCTCAGTCCGTACAAAGCCAAAGCATCGTTCCTTTTCAGCAGAGCTGCCCAGAAACGTCTAGAGCTGTCAGAGCTACCCACATTGCCCCGCTCGGACCGGGTGCACCCATGGGCTTAGATGATTATCCAAACCTTTGCAACCAGGATGGTCCTATAGACCCCAAGAAGGAGAGTGCCCTTGAGTACCAAACAATCGGATTGAGAAGTGGCATGTGCAATGTCTCAGCAATGCCTTCATGAAGTATACCTTTTTACCTGGTGGTCATCTACTTACTGCGACCTTTTTGTGGTCAAATGCCGCTTTACAGCATCTCACAACTCGCCCCAGATGGCTGGAGAATCTTGAGGCTCCTCATCCACCCCCGACATACCTACAAAGCGTCCAAAGAACTTCCTGGCACCATCCAGAATCTGGATCAAATAAACTTCCGAGGCACCTCATCCATCTTCTCTCCAAGCCGCTGCAGCCTCAAAGGTTTTGAGCGCAAGTGGGGTGTAGTGTAACTCAAAGGCTGCTGCTGAATGGTGAGCCCTTTTTGAGCCGTGAAGGATCTTGAAGGCTTCACAACGCCTGCGACCAAATGAGAGTGTATTTCAGTGAGATGTCCAATGGACATCTCCAAGTAGTGTAGGGTAATCCATTGGACACCCAAACAGGATGGTCCTGGTATATGGTTTTTGGTCCATGTGGGCTCTTATGTTCAATTACACACTGACACCAAAGCCATGGTACGCCAACTGGTGAAAACCCACCCATCCACCAACCGTTCATCCCGGAGGACTTGGAGGCTTCCGTGATGTTGAGACATTTCTGACCCAACTATCCTGCATGAAACAGACTCGATGTCTCTCCTTATAAAGTGCAAAAAAGAAACCATGCTGGAGGAATGCTGAAAATCACGTGGATGGGTTCCCAACATTTCGATGAAGGAGACCCCAGCAGCCCCGGCTTTTTCATGCGTGCCTCTCTCAAGCATCTCCACACCCTAGGTCTCCCAGTGCACCCGAAACGAAGGTATTTGGATCCTCTAAACCCACTTCAAACAAAACAATCAAAACACCTTCGAAACGAAGGTACTTGGAGCCCTAGGGCCTATAGGGACAGTGGAAAAGGATCCGCAGCTTAAGCATGTCCACCAGTGTTGTCCTCGACCTGCTCCTTGCCCCAGCTGATCTGACCAAGGGCCCAGACACTTCGGCATAGGCCTCCACATCGTCACACCTGATGCAGGGTCGTTCATGTCACCTAGTCACGACCATGCAGGGCCATCTTGTACAAAATCACACCATGCGCACTGGTAGGTTTAAGAAATATGAACACAATAATTAAGTGAAGAAATCCAGGAATCTCAGGAGTTTGATTTTTATGAATTCAGTGTAAAAACAACAAAAAACCCCTATGTTTGAATTCTCTGATTCTGCGGAACATCTGCTTTATTCGAAGACTTTCGCCCAACATGGTCTTACTGGGAAGTTCAGGGCGACCAGCTCGGTCGGAGATCAGTCGTTGACCCGAACGGTTCCGACTAAACCAGCCAAGGGCGTTCTGTCATTGGAAGATCGTAGAACGGTCACCTCTCCAAATCACTTGAAACGTTTCTCAAAACACATCAGGAGACATGGATTGACATGGATACATCATGAAAGTCACATATGGTGTCTTTCACTAATAGGTATAAATAGATGCGCTATGTATGGTATGTAATGTATGTAATATTGGGAGACTGCATCAGAGCTTCCAAACATCAGTTGCATTCACAATGCCACTATCAAGCAGTCAAATGTTGGCCACAACGGCCACATGCAAGCCACCTGCCGGAGGCCACCCTGGCTTCTAATACAGAACATTCTACACTGACTCCCTGAAATCGGTTACGTGGAGTTCACCACAAGCGGCATTCGGACGTCACGGTTGTCTGAGAAGACTCGGGGCATGCCATCCACTTTGATGACTTCAGGGAGTGTACCTGTAAATGACCCCCAAATGAGGCCCCAAATGCCCAGAGCCACATGCGTTTATACAAAGCATATCAAAGCATCGTGGACAACGGCTGCAACTGGTTGTTCTGTCGTCCGCGTGAGTCTGGTCGGTCGACAGGGCGACACCATGGTAGTCAGTACACCATGGTAGTAGGTACACCATGGGCGACACCATGTCCTTTAGCCATCCCAAACAGGGGGGCCCTGGTATAAGACGTCCAAACTTGAACTAGTAGACTGAATTGAGACTTGGATTTGTTAAGAGATTTGTGGGATCCAGACATCCACCGACTCGACCAAGGCCCCAACATCTCCAAGTCAGTGAAGGCTTGCCTGGGGTCGCAGCACGACGGGGAAAAAGAAACCATCGACACACTTATGACAAGGTCCCAGGTGGACTGACATTTGGGGTGCCAGGTGTGAACCCTGGGCTTTGCAGCAAAGGATGCTTCACAAGGATTCAGACGGTTCCTTTAACTGAATGTACCCGAGGTCCAAAAAGATCAGAAAACCTCCTGTGACACCAATCCTTCACCACCTGCGGCTTCCTCGGTCCAAACCAAGCGACACGAGGCACAGCAAGGTGGTGGCCAAAGCATGGCAGGCGCTTAGAGCATCACCTGAAGATCTCTCTCTCGCTCTTTCTCTGTCTGAAGATGAGGGAATTTGTGTCAGACTCGTGCTGAAATGAGGGAAGGGAACACGACAGACCACGGAAAAAATGGAAGCAACATGGGATGGGCGAGGTTCTCCCCATTCGAAGAGTTATTTGTAGGGTGTAGTGAAGACTGAAGAGATTGGCAAACAAAAAACAACATCAACACTCTGAGAAAACCACTATATACAGTACAAAGATACAGTGGTTGACGGCCAGTTGATGTGCTGAACGACTTCTATTGTTCCGCCTGCTTTTTGCTTCAATCCCTGCCCTGCCTTCCAAATATTCTTTGGTACTCCTGTAGTAGGAGCTTGTGCCGGCCAACAAAGCACGCTGTCGCCACACTTTCAAGAAGAAAACCCGGCGTTGGTGCCCCTTTCATTCCGAAGGCCACGGGGAATATGGCCGTCCGCTCTCACCATGCGAACCAACCTTTTCCTAAAAATAGACCTCTCGGTTGAGTAAGCTGAGCCACTCTGGGGACACAATCTTCACGGAAATCTCAGAAAAGTTGAATATATTAATAGTCGAACTTAAGAATAATTTAGGGTAGGACAATCCTTTCATATGATAGGAATGGGGGATCTTCGACTAGGTCTGGATGAATGTCTGCACACAGCTTTTCAGCTTGTGAAGATGGACCCTGCAAACACACCTCGTCACCTTTTTCCTTGTGCACTTTTGGTCAGTTATGACTGTTCATGTTGTTCAAGAAACTCACACACCCAGCATTTCCAAAGGAATGCTTCTTGGAGGGGAGGGGTAGGGGTGCCCCTGTCACATCCACGACCCCTGGATGGGACGAGCCACACTACTCCAACATGAAACTCACACACCTCGACCAATTCACAGCCGCAACTCGCTCACGAGCGGAAAGCATGGGCCTGGTGGAAGGGCCACTTCCTGGGAGGCGTCATGCGACCAAAACGAATTGAGACTCCCTCATGGATGACTGCCAATCCTGATCAATCTCGACTGTATGTGGAGCTGGAATGGGTCAGGCCAGGAGTCTGAAAGGGCCTCAAAGAGTCCTTTCGGCGAGTGGAACATGGGAAGGTCCTCCCAAAGTGCAACATGCCTAAACAACAAGTGACCGTTACACCAAACCATCCCATTGCCAATTGAGCAGCTTCTCATGGAATCCGAGGCTTTTGTCAATTGCTGTCTGTATTCCAGCTTTCACTACTTGTAGGATCATCAAGGCACTCAAACCTTCTCAGGACCAGTTAGGCCTTTATCAGAACATCCCTGCTGGATTCAAACAAACGCAGTATTGGGGTCCGGTCTTCTGTTACATCGATTGGCAACACATGTACTTGAGGCTTCCAAACACGGGTTTTTTCAAGGAAAAGCACCCTGCTTCCATGGACTAAAGAGGAGTGTGCGTGTCTGTGTGTCTATATATTATATAATATACACAAACACACACCATCACACACCCTTCCCAGTTTCATCAGTCCAGCAGTGATCTGGGATGGATCTCAAAAGTGGGACATCAATCTCTTTCCCATCTCCAAAAAGTAGATATGTTTCTACTTGACGGCACTTGATAGTGATGATTTTGAGGGCATGAACAACATCAGACACTTGAACAGCTACCTTTCACGTCTTCCTACCCACATCCTGTGGGCCCCCAACAACGACGTCTGTCGCGGATGGCCTCCAACAACGACAAACTCCTCTCCGAAATCGCCTGCAGCACCTCGGCGAGCGTCGACGTTTGTGGCGCTGAACCACAGATTTGGCTCGTTTCTTTGGTTCGTTTCTTTTCGCACGGCTACAGTTACACAAAAAGCAGAATCCTTGGGGTCTTACTGCATCGAAAGTGGGGTGTGAGCCGAAGGATTCTGGAGAGTTTCACCAGTTCTCGTAGGGTCTCATCAGTGTCAGTTAGATAGCATATCTAACAATGGAGAGTTCCCCACATGTGGTCCCAGGAGAGGCAAAAACTCAGGTCCCAACAGGCTTGCTGTGCCATCGCAAGGTTCAGCAGCACCAAGCCATATTACCAAGCTCCTCAAAGCCGCTGCAAGATTGTTGAGAAGATTCTGCCAGTTGTTGCTTTCTAACACTCTTTGGAAGCATCCGCCCGTGAATGCGAGCCTTTCTTCATCTGAGGGACAGGATGGGACAGGACATCAGGGTGGCTGTCAAGTCACCCACCTCATGTTATCATTTGTTTATTTCAAACGAAGCAACAAAAAAGTGCTACCCCATCACGGCAAGTGACATCTACCATGCCTCGGTGATGAAAAAGGAATCCATACACCATGAACCAGGGGCCCTCAAAACCAGGAAAAAACCAGGGTTTTCACATACAAAAACCATGTTTTTTGCTAGGGAAAACCAGGATTTTTGATGGTTTGTGGGGCCCCTGGAAAGACCCATGAAAGACCAAAACCCGGTGTAAAAATATTCCGGCAACCTCTCCTGTAGGCTGAGCTCCTGTAGGCGATGCCCCGCGGCTTCAGCCACGGCTTCGACCTCACTAGGTCTCTTGGACGACGCATGGCGAGCAGCTCGCGAGCATCGCAGGACGACTCAACATCGATGGGGGGAGCAATGTAGAGCACCTCAAACAGTGGTTGAAAAACCTCACGAACGTAGCCCTATTAACTGTATATATTATAGTTAGTGCACATACTTTTCACCACCCATACCACATGCATACCACATGGGAGATGAGTGGTGCCCCTCATACCACATGCATACTACATGGGAGACCATTGGTCTCCGGATCAAGCATCCCAAGTAAAGGTTGGGCAAAAACCATCGAAACCACCACCCAATAGAACACCCAAATCTGTACTTATAGGAAAAGGCTTTGCATGTTGTGGCGACCTCCAAAAAATTGCCCGAAAGCACTCATGGCTTGGATCCCAACATGTGGCCAAACGAAGAACTTGCGCACTAGAGCCACTAGAGCGGCTGACATGGAAAAAAACAGTCGACCAGGAGGGGAAAGTAGGATCGCTGCAAAAACAAACGGGCAAAGGTGACAAACACAACATATAATCGATTATAATCATATAATTGTATCATAGCCAAACCAAGCAAGCTCCTGGTTGCCAGCTAGTGGGAATCGCAACACACAAATCCATGGCAAACGAGATGTCTGGTGTGGAAGGGCACAACATGTTGATCTCTAAACCCTGGTTCGTTTATCAACATGTTGAACTACTGAATGTCCAGTTTCAGACCCAACCACAACACACACGTAATACAACGATACGATACGCCTACGGCTTCAACTGACCTCGGTGGATCAGGTGCTTCAGGTGGATGCCAGGAGGGTCCACCTGACCATCTAAAGAGGTGGAGCCGCCTTCGATGCAAAACGTGACACCACCGGGCGGCCCGAGCTGATGCCTCCGCCACACCTGGGCGGGTGTCATCAGGGTCGAGGAATGCCAGCGCCAGTGCGGACTGCGAAGCGAAGGGTTTGCGAAGCAAGTGACGAAGTGCAAGCTGAATGAAATCTGAGAAGGCCCATTTTCTGGGCCAAGGCTAGGTGACAAAATCTCAAGTTCGTCTAAGTTGTCCCACTGGAAGTTCTTGCCCTGCAAACTGGGTCACTGAACATCTTTGGATATGTTTGGTCTATTGAGTCTATTATTGGATTCTTTTGCGTCAGCAAAAGGATAGCAAAAGGAGGTCATGGAGTGCCTGTCTATAAATTAGCAAAACAATGCAACACATATCCAGCTCGTCTCACATGTTCAACCCCCGAAAATATCTGACAGTTCACATCAATCCTTCGCATCAACTCCATCTTCAAGCATGAACCTGTGCCTGTGAGAACCATATCAACAAAGACCATCAACCAAAAGCATCCAAACAAACGTTCTGAGAACTTCTCCACGAAGACGGTGTGAGCGCAGGCAGCTGAAAGCTGCGTAGCGCCGAGCCACGCACTTTGGCACCACTCCAAGCAGTCATGGCCAACTCCTCCGAGCCAAAGTCATTGAGACCTTTCACAGTCGACCAGGGTGGGTGGTGTTGGGTTACCATCATCGTCCCAACACATGAAGTGTATAGCTTCAAGAGTTCTGCAAGTCCTTCGTAAAGTTGCATTGATAATTTTGACCTGGTATACCAGCTAGAGAAGCATCTCCCAGCTACATGTCGCTGCCAAGAAGCGTGGCTCCACAGAGCCCAGGAGAACTTCGAGCACAGGAAGATCTCGAAGTTGAAGCTTCGCAAGAGCTCATGCCCTGGCGGTTGTTCCAAGAAACCATCTAAAACACCAACGAAACCATGGCTTGCTTTGGCACAAGGTTGAAATGGTTTGGGATCTCAAGCTCGTGCTTCAGTTGAACTTTGAACCTCAAGATTCCTCCAAGCCAACTCTCACGTGCTTCACTGAAACACCCTCCCCCACCCTTGGCCACCCTTCTTCCCTTACCTGTTGGCCACGTGCTGCGCTTCAAGCTCCGCCACATGCTGCTGCGCCTGCGCCGCCAGCGCCAGCAAGTGCTCCGGCTCGCCTCCCGCGCGGGTGCTGTAGGCAGCCGCAGCGAAGCACCACGCCTGGGATCCCAGGATTTCGGAAGGGAACATGAAGGAGGTTCCCATGATCGTGCAAACATGTACTCTCCGGAATTTCCGAACTCACCGGTCGTGTGGTCCTTGCATTTTACTGCATTGTTGGGGTGTGGCGTGGCGTATTGTGGCGATAGCGAAAGAATGGGGCTGTCCGGAAGCAAGCAAACCATTCCAGGATTCCAAGCACAAGCGAAGGATAGGGCAAGAACTGATTGTGAAAACTCTAAGAGGAGGAAACTCCTTGACGAATATGCAGTGCCTGGGTTCCATCAATCAGTTATTGTAAATCCGTCCAAACCATCGCGACAAAAAACATGATCTATCTACCTACCTACTACCTATCTATCTATCTATCTAATTCTATCTACTGTAATTCTATCTAACTCTATCTAATTCTATCGATCTATCTATCATGTTAATAAAATATAATCAACCCATTTCCCAACTTCAGCATCTCCCCTTCATTTTCGACTTGGAAAGGAAGCCAGACTTTACTCCTCAGTGGTCCAAGCCCAGAACTCCTCCCGCCAAAAGCAACCGAGCCGCCAAGTTCGAAACGCTTTGCGGCCGCAGCTCCGCATGCAGTTCCACCACCTGCAACTGCGGTGTGTGGAGCTCGAGAAGCGCGTGTCGTGGCGTCCGACGTCGACCCCCAGTCGAGGCGGCGTTGGAGGCGTGTGTGAACGGAAAGGACTGAGCAGCTCGATGCGATCGGTGCATTGCCCCTGAAAGTTTGACCCCTTTTCAACCACCCGAAGGTAGGCAAAGAGGATTCGAGACCAAATTGTGGGTACCTTCCCTCTGAGACCTTGCCCAACTTAGATACTTAGACGCGGATCCCAAAACAGGTCAGGCTTGCAATCTTCTTGTTGGTGGCACGATGGCTAGGTGTCCACCTAGTTGTTGGTGGTCACTGGAAAATGTTTATTCTTCACCAACCCAGCTCGCAGTAGGCGCCCCCATTCTGGTTGGTTGATCGTCGAGTGTGGAGTCTCTCCAAGTGCCAGTCGTTTTGGAGGTCAAACTTTATCCCTAGTTTTGTATGAATGCATTTAAACCTCCAAAACTTCTCTCCAGCTCAGTCTGACTAATGAGCTCATCAAATCCCCCCGTCTACTAGAATGGTTTTACATCTCCGACCCTTCATTAAGCAAACAGCCTTTTGAGTTGTGGGCCTGGGGCTGCTCTTCAGCTAGCCTCCCGCTGCCTTGCCAGACCTGACCCCTTGCTGCATGAGAATATGAACATTATGAAATAAGAACCGTTTATAGATATCAGTGATTATGATTAACAAAAACGCATTCCTGAACCGTCGTATATGTAAAATCGTTTTCATTGTTTTCCACTCTAAAAGAATCATATGTACATTCTTGTAAATTTATTGATTTGATTCAACAAAGAACCTGATGCAAGAACACACACACATTGACCCCCTTCACCCCGGCCCGTACACACGACGGAACCGCCTTCGTCGCGATGCGCCCAAAGGCGCTTTCACCGGCCGAAGCGGCGCCACGAAGGCCCAGGCGTGCCAGGGCCCAGGCGAAGAGTGCCAACTGTTGGGCGTCGAAGGGTGCCAGGTCCACATGGAGCAAGGCATCTGAGTGGAGTCCGGCGTGGTCCTTCTCTAGGAGAAAGGAACGGCAAAGCAAAAGAAAAGGAATCTCAAATTGAAAACTGAGATGACTTGAAAAGTTACATCTAAGGATGTGGGCAACAGCCTCAAGCGTGTGGCTACATGTGGCTGTACTGCTGAAAGGACTTGCTTCTTTCAAGTAACAATGCCCTATTCAATCTTAGGGTCGCAACTTCAACGTTCCCAAAGTGTAAACTCCTCCCTACTGCTCCAAGTACCTCCTCAGAAGGTATTTGGACCCTTAAAACCCACCCCAGTCATACAATTCCCAGAAGGTACTTGTTGCAGCCCGAGCCCCAAACCCCTCCAGGTCTGGCTCCAGGTGGCCCAAAAGGAGCGAATTCTTCTTGATCAACCGGGCACAGGACCAGGCCAAACCAGCCAGCTGCGCTGGGCTGAAGGTGTCCAAGCTCTTCAAACTCGATGTGAGCAAAGCATCCAAGAGCGCCTGAGACGTGCGCTCACTGGAGATTGATCCTTAGGCTGAGATTTTGGAACATGGATTAATGGAAGTGGGCCGGAGTGACGAGTGGTTGATGGTGGAAGGAGTTTGGCACCAACTGAGGTTCCTTCGGAGTTGGTCGCAACGAAACCTGAGTGAATCTAATTTCGCTGCATGTCAAGCTACAAACAAGAAGCTGCTAGTAACAAGGGCATTACTACTAGGAACAAGAAGCTTTATAAGATAGCAACTCCAGTGATTTCTAAACCTCCGACGAGGAGCGAACCAAAGACCTGAAAACGGAACGCTGGAGATGATCTTCACCTAGATGATTCACATTGATGCTCATTTCTGATCTGGTGGGTGGTTTCAACTGACCAACAACAAATGCTTTGTCAGTGGATTGCAATCTTCCCAAATAGAGGTTGCACATAAAAGTATCACAACTCTGAAACCATCACCCAGTGATGCATTTTGCTCCTTTTCTTCCAATTTCAAGGGCGTAAACATGAAGTCTAACCATTTGAAGTATCAACTCCTGCGCGGAATTCGGTCACTCACAGCTTCGTTCGACCGGCAAACAACATCTCCGCGCGTTCGCTGGGCCGTGTCGCTCTCCTTTTGCGCTCCCGCCTCATCGTGAAACTCCAAGGTGGCCATGGCCCAGGCGAGCTGAGTCATCTCTTGGACGTTGGCCTTTCGATCGATCGGTTCACGTTGTGCGGTGCGTGACAGAACGACGCTCGCCTTTTCCGGTGCAACACGCGAGCCGCGTGGTTTTTCCGGTCTCTGGAAGCAACAGGCGGTCGTTAGGGGGCAAGACGGAAAGCCGAAAGATCCGAAGGATCGATGAACCATGCTGGACGATGACGGGAGTATCCGCAGGATCGAAGATAGAAACCGTTCCACTTTGCCTCGGAATCCTTTCGGTTCAGATTCAAGATACTCATTTACTCCAGATGTTGGGAAACACGGATTTAGATCTTTTCTTCAGCTTCGCTTTCCGGTCAGCTTTGAGATGTTGCCCAAGATCTGTTCCATGTTGACCGTCGATCCATTTCGGTGGGACACCCACTGCCGTTGTAGGATGACGGGACCGGTCCGCTGGGAAGGCGGGTCAGACATGGCAGCCTGAAGAGGCTTTTTGGAAGGCAACGATCGATCCAAGTGATTTTCCAATTCTCATAGCTTCATAGCTCCTATATGCTCCTATAATTCATATGCTCCATGCTCTGTTGGATTTGTCATGATTTGTTGGAACACAACGATCTTCCCGAAGGTCTGAAACACGGCCAATCGGCACTGGGCGAATCGGCGAGAGCACGCCTCTGGTAGCCTTGAGCGTGCGAACGGCGCTAACGTCTTCAGGAAGGGCATATGAATCGCCGATGCCTGCAGGAATGGAGAATCAGCTGCACCAAAGAATAGAAATAAAGGAGGTGCACGAAAGAAACATCATTTTAGGATACAGTAGTTGGGGGCCCCTCTTGCTGTTCAGCTTTGATCAACGAATCCAACACCACAGTTCAACACCACCACCCAAAAAGAACGAAAACCCTCCAGTCCTGCAGTGCGCAGGCAAACTGTCCAAGAACTACCAAAGAACAGCTTAAGGAGACGACAGGAGACAGAGCCCCAGCCTCTGCCATGGTCTAAGCTCTGTTGGAAGTTCCTTGCGGGTTGAAGCTTTTGGCGATCTTGCATCCCTGCTCACCTGCAATCTTCGATGAGCAAGCACTAGTTATTCAGTGTTGGAAATAGTGTGCAACCTCAATGCTAGCTTGCAACAATCGTACCAACGCGCATCGTGCAAATGAAACCGAAAACAATATCCTCCGAATTTGAGGGGAAACAATATCCTCCATGTCGAAATACGCTCCATGAAACAATATCCTGAATTTGAGGGTCCATGTCGGAAACTGGTATCCCTTTCACCACATGGTCTGGCAGCTTGGCCAGCCTTGCTCAGTTTGTGGTAATGGCGAGACGGCCACCTTGCGGGGCCCCGAGCCCGCAAAGGTAGCAGCTTTTGTGAGCTTTTGTAGCATCTGTCACGCTTTTATTGAACGATCCGCTTTTATTGTAAAAGCAAGCACCATCAAGTTCTCCCACCAAAACCAGAAGTCTCGTTTCACATCGAAGACTGGAACTTGAACATTCTGCCACTTCGAAGAGACTGGCCCTCGCCTAAGGCCTCAAAGAAGGGCTCCTCTCGATGCGACGCTTTGGTGCTCCTCCACGCCAGGTTGGACAAGCTCTGCGCATCAAACTCGGCCATTCGAGACCGCCCACCTCGCTGAGAAGACACGCCACAGTGGGGGGGCCCTGCGACGAGGTCGTGAGCAGTGCACTGGAGTCGGATCAGCTGTGACTCTTGTCAGGGACGAAAGACGGTGTCGAAGTAACGTAACGAGGTATTAAGTACCGAAATAGCTTGTGTTGGGTCCTGTAGCATCTGCCTAGGTTCCTGATTAAAGTCATACAAGAAGCACCCCAATGTAGGCCAATGTTCTAGCCCCCATGGAGTGTCTGTAAGGGTCAGGAAGCCTTGTGGCTTCGTGTTTCTGCTTGGAGAAGAGAGTCCTTTTCCAATCGAACTTTGACAAAGGCGTGGCAGAACAGAGATGTGGCACTCTCACTTCCCACTTCCTTGTCTTATCAAAGCACCGCCCCCCCCACAAAGGTCATGAATGGTCCCAGGGTGAAGGGATCTGGTACTCCCTGTCAGGATGCTCAAAGCCCTCTTGGAATCCTTTTTGCATGGTTTAGCATGAAAAATAAAGAACACAGGGGGACGTACGAGTTTTGACCGGTCGTTTGCACCGGTCAAAGAGACTTTAGTTTGATCAAATCTCATTGAAGCTGGGTCCCAGGCTCCATCTTTTCCCCGGGCTCCCACCAGCATTTCCCTCACCGCTTTTGCCACGTAGCACTGGACCATGGACTTCATGAGCAACTGGTCGCACCTGGGGTTCCCAACGACGGCATCCGGTGAACCCACCGCTGAACCCGTTGGACGAACGACCCAGGATCCGGTGGCTGACGCCCGTTCGAGCGACGGTGGCGGGACGCGTCGAGCGATGGTGATACTCCAATTCGTCGGTCTGAGTGGAGGTCGGGGCTTGGAAATCGAAGACGGTGAGAGAAGTCCCACAACAGGTGTTTGACAGGTGAGAGAAGTCAGTGAAATCCAAACTCCTTTTGAGACAACTATAGAACAGTTCCCACAACAGGTGTTTAACAGGTCCCACGAGATCAGCGCAGTGACGCGAGAATGCTCCAAAGTCCAAACCCAAGGCACCAACGCCTTGTGGATCAAGTCGTCCGAATAGATGTGGCCATGAACTCCCCATAAAGTGTCCCTGGAAAATTAAGGTTAAGCAAACCAGCACCCTCCAACAGGTGCTTCCTGGTGACAACAGGTGCCCAGAAACCACCTGTTAGGGTCTCCAAAGAGCCTGTTGGAGGGTCCTGGTTAAGCCTTTTGTACCGGTTGGATCCAAGTGGAGAAACCAATGCCCCCCCATGGCCGAGGTCTTGCAGGTTCTCCCCTGAACCTTTGTAGATCGGCAGTTGACGCGACCCGTTGGTATGGTGCTTCCAACAAGCGTGAGCCCATGGCCGATGACTGTTTCAAACCATCATGTCATTGTGGCAGCTGGACAAGCATCCAGGCCCTCAGGCCATACCTCCAAACTCATACAAGGCGCAAGATCAGGACTGCAAAGGCTCAAGAGGTGCTTGCTAACTCCTGGCTGGATTGATCAAATAATTAGATTCAAACAGAAGATTGGGATGCTGGGTGCATGTTCCTGTCGCTTTTGGGGCACGTGCCGGGCTTGAGATCAGGTGCTGGGGTAGAGATCAGGTGCTTCAAACCTCTTGCCTCACACTATGGTGACACCAAAAGAAACAAACAGGATCACTGCATCAATTGCCCGGGGAGCATGTCAATGCATTGAAAATCCTTGTCGTTTTCCACCACCTTTCCTTGTTCGTTCTGGATTTGGCATGGATTCGGGGTGCCCTTGGCCTTCACCAATTGAACAAATGGAGGCATGACATGAACAAGAAAGCATGTTTGCCCTAGTTCCAACCACACCCCATCAATCCAAGGACAAAGTAAAACCTGGTTGCGGTCATTGTGTACTGTTTTTTTCGCATTTTCCAGGACGTCCGTAAAATGAGGTCGGTGGAACCGGGGGGGCCTGCGGTGGGTCGCTGGTTGACCTGCAGCCCTTCTCCCTTCGACTCATTCCCCCCCTCTCCGATGCTACGAGCAATGGACCGAGCTCCAGCAATGGCCGGTTTTCGTGTCCTCGTTCCTATTTGTCTAAGAGGTTTTTTGAATTCATCCACATGACAGAGCAAATCTCTTGGAGGAAACGTCTGGAGGATTCTCATGGTCGGAACGGATTCCAAGAGCAACCAGAGTGAAGCCGATGTTGTCCAATCCGCGAATGTGGTCCAGTTAGCTCATTCTTGTACCATCCCTTCCGCGGTAGAGGTGAGAAAGTTGGGATGACCATGTTCAACTTCAGAGACATGCTGAGTTGGATCTTATTAGAAACAATAATAGCATTTCAAACATAAACATGACTAAGAGCGCGAGGACACCTAAAGTGAAGAAGGATACTATATAATAACTATATATAACTATATATATATATCTATTAATAGATCCGAGCTATTTCCTCCCAAGCACTTCATGTGCATCTCCTCTGGGCGAAAATGGCTGCTCTCTTCTTGGGCTCTCTTTGCAATGGCCGCCATTAATGGTTGGCTTTCAAACTCCAAAGCTGCAAAGCTCCAAGCGCTGTTGGCCAAGTCCTGCAGCCCGAGAGCTCACCCAGCCATACACTGAAGGAGTTGGACACCACGTTTCAGTTCCAGTTCACATCTGCAATCCCACCAATCCTCAAAGTCAATCTGTAAACATCTGTGGTCTGTGAATGCCAACATCCAATCAAGTGCATCCATCACCATGCATCATGAACATCCATGACCCCGTGACCCCCCCCCAAAAAAGCATGGAAGACATACATACATACTGGCTCCTAAGCAAACTGAAAGGAAAAAGTATGGAAGAACCAACAACGGACACAGAACCCTGCCGAACTCTGCCGACCGGATCAAGACATCAAATGGGCGAGACTGAGGATGACGACGGTGGTTTAGGGGTGTGGCAAGGATTGGGCTTTGTTTGGACTTCATCACCGGAAGTCCTTGGGCTTCATGGCGATCGCTGCATGTTGCGAACCGACCTCGTCACCGGACCATCAGCCTTCCTCTTCGCCGACGCACCTGCGCCGACGCACCCTGCGGCTCCTGGGTGTTCGCCGAGGTGAGCTTCGCTTGGAACTCCTCGGCCACGACCGTCAACCATGTGTGGCTCCTGGCCGTAGGGCCGAACGGGCTGAGAGGGCTGAGAGGTGGATGGGTCGGCCGAACGAGAGCGAAGTTGAAGCAGCCAATTGGAGAAAAACACACACCTCCCACGGTTGAGGCGGTTGATTGACACCCCAACATCTCAGGGGCTATTAAATCTATTTAGTTTGTTCGTTTTTTAAACACTCTTGGGGAGCCCTGGTACTTGTTTGTCATCATCAAGTTACGAGGGCCCCGGTCATTGTGTTCTTGGCTTGTGTTGAGAACCTGGGCTTGGCTTGTGTTGAGAACCTGGGCTTCACGCTGACAAGACCAGCAAGTTCAATGCACCAATCTTTGGATGTGTGTGATCCACTCCTTTCCCATCATTCTTGGCAGAAGCCACTCTCAGATAGGCAACTTGCACTCGGAAGTCCCTCCTGACAGCCAGGCGTGCAAAGCTTCATACGGTACGGGCCAAGCCCAGTGCTTTCATAGGCTTGGCCACGGCAATGGCACGCGAAGCCAGCGCTGTCAGCAATGGAGCCTGGCACACCAGGCTTGTCACAGGGCTTTAACAGCTCCAAGCCCCAAGGCCAAACAGGGGTGAACAAAAGAAGAAAGGTGAGACCTAACATGAATTGTACCAATTAAAGGACCAACTGCATTTGATTGTCTACTTCTTCTCCTGATTGCAATTTGTTAGTGTACTTTGTTACCTTGCATATAGGCAACCAGTTGCAGTTCTTGGAGAAGTTGACTGCTCATGAAAGGGAACAGTAGGGGCTCTGCAAGCATTCTTGGTCTCGCCAATGTCACCAGCAAGTCACTGGAGGATTCTGAACCAATACTAGCAACAATAATCGTTTTGAATCATGTGGATTCAATTTTGGTTCACCTGGTGTGCATTTTGGAGGCAAACCATGAGGGGAGCAGCTGATAGGCAATTGCCGGACATGTATGGAAGACCCTTAACCACTGCACCTGCCAGGAATCTTTTGTCAATTGGATCATTAAAATCTCAACTCTTGATTCTGAAAACCGAAATAGCAAACTCTTCAACTTTGGACACATGTGAACCTTGCATTACATTTGGTGTCTGAATAAAAAGGCAGACTTCTCCGAAAAGCTACCAAGTAGCAGCAGTAGTAGCATTTATTCGCTGTACACCGCAAGCCGAACAGGCCCAAACAGGCCCAACAGGTCCGCAAGAGGCGAGTCCAACCGCCCAACCACCCGCATCGTCGACGCCCACCTCACTGGACTGCAACTCTTCTTGTTA